ACTTCCTTTCAGGCTCTTTTCACTGCTTTTTCCGTTTTACCTTATTGCTGTACCATTGTCCTTTAGATTAAAGAGGAATTTTACTGAGTAATGTCGAATTTTTCAAATAAACGCTAAATCAAGAATTACACAATTTCCACCGTAATATCTAATTTTTTATGATACAGGAGACGTTCACTACATGGTAGGTGAAATATAAATAATATGCGGGGTCGTCCTATTTTGGCTTTGGAAATACGGAAATCCACAGACTGACCGTAATGTTATAAAACTTCACGGCTTTTTCATCTGTGCACGGTGGTTCGTGAACCGGACGGAATTCCGATACTCCCCAACCATTGAATATCCAGAGTTCCAGGCGAAGTCTAGAAATATTATAAATTTATTAGAAAAATGTTGGAGCCCATGGGGATCGACCTACGGCCCGTCGATTATAAGCCGTACATAGCTACCGTCACACCAATGAGTTCGTCAAAATAATATAACTCAATATTCATTTTAATAACTATGAAATCTAATTAAACCATATCGAATCACCAACATATCCATTACCCGTATTTAGATGTTATCAGTTATAACAAATTTTATTTAATTTCGCTCCAAAGTAAATTCAATTATAAACATGGCGGTTTCAAATGAACTGTTTTAATATTTCACGGCTATAATTTAGCAATTTGAACACGTTCTGTATACACAAATGTAGTTTGAAATTACTACATGGTCGTACTAAATTGACTGAATCGCTTTTGCTCGTGGAAAATACACAGAAAATACACAGAACATAAGAAAATGCATTTGCTAAGAGATTTTTTCACTCGGATATTGATATTTATCGTTGTAAGTACCTTTAATTTAAAACCACATTACACGTCACCGGAAAAAATAATATAGCCCTTTGGAATTAAATTTGCTTCCTGTAAAGGTTTAAGATGTTCTGTCTGTATTGGGCGAGCAAAGTAAAAAAAAAGATGTCGAAACCCTTGATTTTGTCCTCAACAATCGGGCACATTCAATGGATCGTGAGTTCGTACCCTGCCTAATCCGACATGAGTCTAATCAATTCATATTTTCTCTGAAACATGTTGGACTTCGCTGTCTGACTTAAATAGGTGATAGGAATATCCAAAATCAGTCCAGGTCACGAAATATCGCCCACAGATAAAAAAGCCGTCAAGACAATTGTGTTTCCGTTTTAGTCTAACCACAGACTAAAACTGATATATGGCTAGTATATTTCACTCACCATCAAGAGAACCCCAAGCTTGTCCCTCTCCAACCTAAAAAAAACTTTTTCTACTAAATCAAAACGTTCTCTAGTTGAACATTGAAAAAGAAAGTTTTCTTATTGTTTTGGAGTTTTAAAGTATTAAAGATAATGCTACTTATGTAGATTTTTTCGAGTTTTCAAAAACTTAAGCAAAATGTTTTGAGGGAAAATAGAATAAAACACGAAAATTTATTTTATTAAGAGACTGTTATGCTTACAAAGCCGCCTTTGTAGTGAAATTGTTAAAACGTGTTTCCTATCATAGCGTTAAGTGCGAGAGGTCTTGGGATCGGACCCCGGAAAAACGGTGAATAGATTGTTACGGTCAGGCAGGGCACAGAAGTCTGTAAAGGACCCGATCAGTGAAACGAACACAGAAATGTGTTCGCCCCATGCCCTACGAGGGGAATTTACTTTATTATACTTACAAAGGGTTGCATTAAGTACATTAATTCTTGTTTCAGGTATTTTATTTTGTGTCTTGTAACAAAAGTAAAGACACCTCTCAGAAACCTAAAACCGAATCACAGGAAAATCTTGACTTTTACAAGATCGCTTCAAAATCGATTGCATTTCTTCCAATGGTGGTTTAATAGCTGGGCTGATCTCAAAATGGTTGTAAAGATCTAGAATAATATAATTATAACTCTCACATGCGAATAAGAACTTATGTAAATAAATAACTAAAAAATCAACTATTTTTTGAGATTCAATTAATGAGTGTTAAGGTCGAAATTACTTTGCGCGCGACTTGAATGAAAAGATTGACGAAATTCGACACTCAAGGATCACGTTGGTTTAGTTGTTCGTTTAGGGTTCGATTTTCGTGCGTTTTTGGTTTCAATGAAAAATAAATCAACGGGTCGCATGTTCAACACTGGTCCAACATTTTTTTAATAATTTTTTTTTCTGAAATTTGGTATATGATGGAATTTGTTTCGAAATCTGGGTATTAAATGGCCATGAAATATATTAATGACCTCGGCTGTTGATTCCGTTCGGGTCAAATTTATTCCCTTTTCGTTTTTTGTTTGTGGATTTCCGAACTTCCAAAGCCAAAATTCGTTGACACCCCATCTCGTACATGTTAGTTGGCTTAGGTATTTCAGCTACCATCGAGAACCACATGCTCGTCTTTCCTCCCCTATCATAAAACCATATCTTAAAGGATATAATTGTTTGAACATTGCCTAACAAGCCTCCAACAATAAATTGAGCTATACAGTTCGAAATAAGTTTAAACTAAAATCGGGCTCATGTAAATTATCAAGAACTTGGCTGGAAAGTTATCAGAATTGCTTGGCAAGTTTTCAATTAGCTGTCCCTATCATTAAGTTATGCTAAGCGTTGAACTTTCAACTGTACTTGGCCTAGCAGTTTCATTTATTTGCCTTGAATAGTTTTGGTGTAACTTTAAACTTGTAGCGATAAAAAAGGCGACTGGGCCAAACGTATAACGTAATATATAAACCGACTTTTCAAGTGGATAGACAAGGACACAAATACATATTAAAAAAAACACTTTAACGGTTTAAAACGCGATATATATTAGTTAAACTTATTTGAAAATTATTCACTACGGCCCGACGTTTCGGATGCTTTGCAGTAGCCGCGGTCACGGGGAGACCGTAGTTAAAAATAATTTTCACTTATTTGAAAATTATTTTTAACTAATATATATCGTTTATTAAGTCGTTAACGTGTTTTATTTAAATGTGTACAACTCGCGTAAACAACAGACAGTATTTAGATAATAATGATAATGCATCGTTTATATAAATATTATTTGGCTCCTCTATCTGCTCAAGATTGAAAACTTAAATATTTTTCACATGTTATTGGACACGATGGCCTTATATATAAAAGAACTATTATATTTTTTTAAATTACGACACGGGAGGACCTTTACCGGCATCTACAGCGTTCAGTGCTGTTCCTACTACGACACGGTAGCTTAATTGGTTAGAAAAGCGACGTCGTCGATGCCGGTTCTAGTCCTGTGACGTAATTTTTTACAATTACGCAAAATTACTACTACCTTTGTTCTTATAAAGTACTTAATTGGTAGGATATCTTATCAAACCCAAATAGTACCTTTAACAAAACATTTCAAAGCGTGAAATATATTAGTTAGCAGCATCCGCAAAGTTGGGCCTTAGTAAAATAAAATTCTAAATTAATTAAACAACATATTTCGTGTTTTAAACCGTTAAGTGTTTATTAAGCTTCGATCAAGCAATTACTCAATCCCACATCTATTTACCTCCGTTCCATTTGAAATAACCTAGATCAACTAAGATTTATTGGCCTTTGTATTTGAATAATACAATTTCATTTCGCCGAGATAGTATAAAGCCGCTCCAATTTGCCGATGTCGCAACTTGCAACCGCAGTGTCGGCAACTTCACACGACACTCAGTCTATCTGTCGAGAGGCTAAGGCCGTTTGATTGTTTAATCCGTGGAGATGTTCGGTACATCTACTTAAGTTTAAATAAAGCTAGTATAAAGCTTTGACCTTTTCACTGAATGCTTTGCAAATCACGAATCCAGTTTGATGTATTACATCTTTGTGGCGGGAGAATTTCACCTTCCATTAGGTGATTCCCCTTTGTTATGTAACACTGGGACTTCGCCGCGTAGAATAATTATTTTGGCCATGAAAATTTGTTTTCATGGCCAAAATAATTATTAAGTTAAGTTAAGTTAATCTTAAAAGAAAGACATGTAGTGTTGCGAAGTTGCATAATAATTATCCAATTCGAATTAGTAGTTTCTGAGATTAGCGCGTTCAAACAAACAAACTTTTCAGCGTTATATTTTAGTATAGATTGTTACGTTAATATGATCAAAATAGTAAACGCTTCGTGCATACCAATTATTTTCATCAAGGTAACGTTCAACGTATTTTAATTTGTACAGGTGCGTAAAATGTGTAGTACACACGAAAATAAATATAACGTACAAAAAAAGCAGCCGTATTTTCTGTAGTTTACGCGAATAGAACACATTTAATTAAAACACTTTTAACGGTTCAGAATGCGAAATATATCACTGACCCCGTAATCACGGGCCATACTTAAAAAAATATTATAAATATGTTAACGAAGCTCGTCTTAAACAGTTTAAAATGATTTATCTTTGAATTCCACTGATGTCTTTACTGCTAAGTTATTTATACGTCGTCCTAGAAAAACCTTTAAGACCGAATTGGGCTATTAACTCTAGAGTTTTCATATTTATAATCTTTCTTTCTTCCTTATTTAGATATAGGAACTTAGTTAAAAGATTTAAATTATAAGCTTAAAATAAGGTATACTAGCACTTTATTTCTTTTTTTTCTACTTTTCCTATTTCAATTGGTTGAGCTTAGATAACGATGTCAATTGACGCCGGCTTACTAGCCCAAACCTGTTCTAGAAGATGGTTATACAAAGCGATTAGGAAAAACCCATCAGTTGCCTAGCATTGTATTCATCAAGGAAGGTAACACAATCGAAAAAACGATATTTTTTCGGTTATGCAGAAGACAATAGTAACGAGGACTTTATATCTTTTATTAATTGTTAATCTATACCTAACCATAGTATGATTATGTATGTGTATATACTCACCTTAATTACTTGTATTTATCGAGCATGTTTGTACCTCAATATAACCATTCCTTAGGCCATGGACACAGCTACAATATTACAAACTACAGGGTTTTTGGATAAATGAAACACAATAAACGGTCAACCAAGGTTCTTAACAAGCTCCTTAAGAAATTTAATATCCTTCTTGTCATGTATCTCTTCGTCATCATCAGGGTACATCGTTGTTCTTGGCAGAGGTGCGGAACTAGGCAAGTCCATTACAAACGCACGGACCTGACAAAACATTAATCGAGCAATTCAATAACAAGATCATGTTACACTTGGAAAGACGGAGTATCAAATATTTATACCATAAAAAAACTTTCCTTCTAAACCAAATGAGACTGCTGTCTGTTGTCTGCTGGCCTGCTGGCCAAAAGTATTGCAGATACAATTGCGTATTGATCCTTACTAATATTATAAATGCGAAAATAACTCTGTCTGTCTGTTACTCTTTCACGCATGAATTACTAAACGGATTTGAATGAAATTTGGTACACATATGGTCTAGATCCTGAGAAAGGAAAGGCGAAAAGGGGGGTGAAAGTTTGTATGGAAATTCGTGGTTTTTGAAGTTGGTGTAGGACTCCGTAGCTCAATTGGTAGAGCAACATCACGGAACGCTGACGATGCCGGTTCAAGTCCTGCCCGAGTCGAAATTTTTTCAATTTATTTTCGATTTTTAAATAAAGATTTAGACTTTGATTTTTCCTTCAGTCTAATATACCACCCATCCAGACGATCCGGGCGTTACTTAAGTTTATAAAAAGATTTTAAACCTAATGAAGGAAAATCAATTCAACTCTACCTTGTTATTGACGGCTCGAAAATTCTGCAGCAGCTTAAGAGCCGACCTCTTCTCCGTTGGGTGCGATATCTGATACAAACGCAGGGCTCGGTGGAACTGAAATATTGAATTTCTCTACAAGTTCCGTCTTATTGCTTATCTTTCATTAAAATACATACTGAAACTTACTGACCTGGCAAACGTTCTGTTGCCTATAACTAGCTGTGCCAGCGGTCGCGTCCTGTCGTTCTTGCGAGATAATCTTAAGAAATAGTGTCGGCGACATTTTTAAGATCATTCAAAGTGGAATTATCTCTCATACATATTTTTTGGGTATTTCCCCTCTTTATTATTATGCCCATTTTTAGCTAAACAAGAAAACTGTAACTACCCAATTGTTAAATCGCTATTTTATGTATCTTATAAATTAGGATATTGGAACAAAACTAATTCAGTACTTTCTGCAGCTTACACGCGAACAGTATATATTAAAAATTATTTTTACGATTTGAAACGTGAAAACGGCTGCTGCAAAGCATCTGAAATGTCGGGCCTAGTTGAAATAAATTGTGAATTAGCTATCTAACTAATCGTGCCTTTTAAACCGTTAAAAATGTACAGTACAGAAAGAGATATGATATAAAAGACTTATACCCGTTCTAGAAGACACCAAGTATCCCTATACTGATGGAGGAATACCAGCGGGGTGAGTACTGCAGCGTGATACGCAGCTTCACGGTCTAGTAGATCCTCTGTGTCCGTTAGACCATGTACTGTAGCACGGTACTTACGGAGGAACGCTGTGTTCGAGTGGTCTCGATCGAAGCTGGAAGAATACGCTGTTAGAGAATGCTTGAACAAGTTCCAAAGCACTAGTTTTATTTAATCCTAGCTGTGTCAGCGACTTCGTCCGCAAGAATCGGCATTTTGAGCGTAGCAATACGTTTTTGCAAACCCTCATCTTTATAAACTTATTACTATTAAGCCGTTCTTGCGAGTTTATCTTAAATGATAGACATAAGCGTGGCGGACTTTTTTTTACATCATTTAAAGAGGAATCATTCTTTTATACATATTTTATGCTGTCCTGAACCGTTTTCGCAGTGTACACATCGGAAACCCAAAGAGATGAATATTTACTCCCCTTTTTTCTACATTTCTAGCTGTTTCTTCTCTCCTATTAAACACAGCCCGTTTTATAGCTTCCTCCAGCCTTCGTCAATAAATGCTCCAACGAACACAGAATTTTTCAATTCGAAGCAGTAGTTCCTGAGATTAGCGCGTCCAAACAAACAAACCCTTCAGCTGTCGCGTCCTAATGATACTTACTATGGCAATATAGCATAGAATCGTTTTATTATATCCTTGTTGGAAGGCTGTATGTGTAAGCAAGGCATCTCTTCGTCATATAGTCTTTGCCTATATGTCCATCTGTCTTCTGATAAATCGGGTATTTCAATATGCAAATGCACTGTAGGACACTGAAACATTTAAAATTTAAACGACCTCAATTGTAATTGAGAGGGTGAATAATTCGTCGCTGTAGCTTAATGGCTAAGCGTGTTACCCTATTGGTTAAGTGCGAGAAGTTCTGGTAATACAATAAACTTTTAAATAAAACACTTTAACGGTTTAAAACGCGATATATTAGTTAAACTTATTTGCCGCCGCTTATTCGCCGTGGTCACGGGGAAGTTTAACTAATATATCGCGTTTTAAACCGTTAAAGTGTTTTATTTAAATGTGTACTACTCGCGTAAACTATAGACAGTATTTAATACAATAAACTGTTTTGGTCGGGCTGGGCACAGAAATTTCCTTCCCTATTAATGATACAATAAAACGGACAGTGAAGTGTGTGTTTTTATGACAGAGGAGACAAGCATGGGATCGCTTGATGGGAGGTAAAATATCCCAGTCGTATAACATCTACCCAAGATGCACGTCGACCTATTTTGGCGTTGGATATTGGGCTGTTCATTCAATAGCGATATAGAGTTTCACAACATACCGTTAGGATAAAAACCAGTATTTCCCATAATTTTGTTACCATGTCTTTAGTTCACTCATCATAATTTACTTTCGTTTTCATTACAATGGAAACGTTACATTACAAGACACTGACTGCTTGCTTGTCATAAATAAAGATAATTATTGTTCGTATTATTCTATGATCACTGAGTGACATATTTTTTATTATATATTGATTATACTCTATAAGCAAGGGCGTAAATTAAAAGTTCGTGATGAATATATATTTTAATAAAATTTGCAGTGTTTTTTTTTCTCATTCGATACAATATGTTATTGCAAATATGAAAACACTTTAAAATATTGATCGTTCATAGTTCTTATAAATAAAAATAAGAATAAATATAGTCTGTAGTTAACATGAGTAAAACACGTTAAAATAAAACTCTTTAAAGGTTAACTAGGGCCCGACATTTCGTGTGCTTTGCAGCAGGAGTGGCCATGGGCGGTCGTAATTAAAATAATTGTAAAATAAGTTAACCTAATATATATCGCCTTTTAAACAGTTTAAGTGTTTTATTTAAAATAATTCTTGGTTTTTTAAACGGTTTGTAAAGAAATAAAACACAAAAGATTAAAAAGAAGTAATAAACAATTTATAATAACAAAATAGCGATCACCAAAGGCGACACAAGTTTAAGAGAATTCGATCTGCTAGTGATATCGTTGGCTTTATCAATAATATTCCCACTCTGCAGCATCTCTGCTTCCAAAGAAGATTGTTTATTTGAAGTCGAGAACGTGGGAAAGGTCACCTGAAAATGCATTCAGATTTTTATTAACTGTCAATATTGCCTACGGAGTTAATATTATTTAACTGCTGTTGCAGTCTGTTACATTGTCCTGCCTTTTGCAATATTTATTTCAGTGAAGTAAAAATATATCGCGGAAACGGATGTAGTAATGTGTCTACCCCATATCTCACAGAGGATATATGGGTCTTATGCTATTAATTGTATATTAAGCATTTTTATTCATAAAAGAATCGGTACATTTGTATTTTAATATATAATTGATCTAATATATATAAATACCTACCTCGGTGTTTAGAAAGAGGAACCATTTTAAGTTACCAAAAAATTAAGTCTACTGTTGAAAGGATTTTGAAAGAATTGTTTTTAAACTATTTTGTAACATTCACCCTTAGTAAGTCGTTAGCTCTTATATATGTGAACAATTTTATTGCTCTAATAGTAGATTTAAAATAAATTTATATTATTTCTTTCTGGCTTCTTTTGAAACATCTGGATACTAAATGGATAAAATTCTGTCCGAGTTTTTGAACCATTCTAACTCACCAGGTCAGGAGCCCGCTTTTTGCCATGTTTCCATGTGGTATTCGGTTGTCTGATTTTCTGTAAAAATTATTAATTTTATTTCAGGTACGTATGCTGTCCAACAGAATCTATTGTTGCCTGTGAATTCGAACCTTGGTACTTAACCATTAGACAACGAGGTCAGTTTTTTTATTTATGATTGTTTTAAAATCCATTGGATAAAAAAAATACGACACCCACAGCGCTCCGAAGACTCAAGTCCTGCCCGTGTCGTATTTTTTTAAATTCAAATAGATTTTTATTTAAATAAAACATTTTAACGGTTTAAAACGCGATATATTAGCTAAACTTATTTGAAAATGATTTTTAACTTCGGCCATCGCGTTTTAAACCGTTAAAGTGTTTTATTTAAATGTGTACTACTCGCGTAAACTATAGACAGTAGATTTTTATTTTTTACAGCCATCGTATGAAAAATATGAGTTTCCAAACATTATTATTATTGAATTTTGGTCCGTTATCCCCTCAAGTACCGTTTGATCTCAATTTAATTATTACAACAATACCTAATATAATTATATATTTACTATTAAGCGAACCTCAAGCTCTTCTATCTCCCTATTTAACATAAAAGAAACTAACCGTATTCTACTCAACAAACCGTTAAATTAACCTTTTCCCTAATGGTAGTCTTCTGGTACATATTAGTAGGCATTACACTCTGTATGAACTCCTCCATGATAAATCGAGCGCGTGCTACCACTATGTCCATGGCGCGCATCTGTTTCGCCACTTCGTAGGGCCTCTCTGATGATAAGTACTTGTTAACCTTTAATTGTAAATCGGATTATTATCATTGAGCCACAAAGGATAGAATCTGAGAGAATAAAGATCAATAGGGAGGAAATAAAAGGAATGTGGCAAGAATAGGCTTTTTTATCGTAGAGTAAGACAGACAAGCTCGGGGTTAATTTGACGGAAGTTACCCCAGCCATATGACATTTTGAAAAGATGCGCTATCAACCTTATTTGGATTTAGATATTCAGAAAATCACAGACTAAAACCGATGCGCGATTAAACTGCAGAATATTTTTATCCATGGACGGTAATTCGCGAACCAGACACAACTCTGGAATATCAGAGTTGTACCATCCATTTAATATCCAGATCTCCAGACGAAATCCAAAATGTTTCCGGAAAAAATAATTAGAAACATGTTAGCGGTCGAACCCTTGTTCCACGACACGTTGTTTTTTATTAGCCACGGCTACCAGTAGACAACTGTGCAAATTATATATTTCCAAAATAATAGTTGTGATTTGCTAGAACTATAATGACCAGATGATGATAACATTTCTATGTCTATAAATAGCGTCTATAATCAGATGTATCAAACCTTTTTTATAGGACACCATCCATACTTATTCGTAGCGACAGGGTCTGTGACGATCATCCATATAATCGCCAATATTCTGGGGAAGGTGATATGGGGCTCACCCATCATTACATCCGGAGTTTTCACCAGAGACTCGAAGTCTGGTTCCGAATCGAACATAGAGGATTCCACTAATATCTTCGTTTTAACCAAGACTTGCATTAGTTCTGGCACTAATACGCCATCGTCGCCTTCTAAATTCCTATAAAATAAAAGCAATCGGGCAAACACAAAGAAAAACTAAAAGGATTTGTTTTTAATTGAAGTGAAGTACTGAAGTGAAAACACCAACAAAACAAGTTGTTTTATATATTGACCAAAAACTTTATAGAGAATATTCATTCTATATCAATTATAAGATATCTAATTGCTTATTTTTCTACATACATATTTGTTTGTGTTTTATTTTATTTCGGCTATTTACTTGCGGCAAAAATAAAACAAACTAATCTTACTTTAGCAGCTCTAACATAAGCCTCCCAATTTTTCCCGCGCTTGGTTTTGGATAGGCGACACAGTCTGAGCTGACGACTCTTGCTGGAGAAGCCTCTGTCTCGAAAGCAGCTGCTAGTTCCCTTAAAAGAAATTAATTTTATTTCTTTAATTCTTTACTGCAACACACACCAACACAAAGTATATAAACATCTTTCTTTAAAAATATTCTCAAAAATACATTTTTTCAAGAAAAATCTTACAAGGTGCAATGGGAGGACTTGTCGCTATATGGCGATCTCCTCCAGTCAACCCTTGATAAAAAATGAGATACATCATAGCAACGTGCTTGTTTTACGAAGTATAACAATCCATAAAAAATAATGATAAAAACTCGATTTTCAGTTTGTGGGGCAGTGACCAAAAAATACTTATAGACTTTTATGGATATTATAGTACTAGCTGAGTCAGCGACTTCGTGCGCCTAGAATAGTTATTTTGGACGTACAAATTTGTTTTTGCAAACCTGATCCTCGGCTTGCGATGTTTTATATCGTTCCTGAGATAAACGCGTTGAAACAAACAAACAAGCTGAAGATTTGTTCTTCAGCTATATATTATTATGCAATCGTCGCACATAACTTAAAATATGTATGAAAATATATTTATCATAAATCTAATCACTGATTCTTTTCTGTACCTCTGACGAAGGTCTTCTGCAGCTAACCAGTCCAGAGTTAACGCAGAGCGGTATGCAGCAATGCCCATGGGCGTTGTTCGTGAAATGTTGCTGTTAAAGCTATAGTAATAATCTTCTGATTTACACTGGAATGTTTAGATAATTTTAAAACCCATGGTGGACCATTGGTCTAAACGAAGAGGTTTAGCAAAGTTTTAGGTTGAGTAGTGAGTAGAAAAAATAGGGCGTTTCATCCTTTCTTGTCGTATGATAGAGAAGGACATAAAAAATTTCAACAAGAACAACAAGGTCGACCTACTTTGACTTTAAATATTCTGAAAGGGACCAACTTAAACCGAAACGCGATTTAACTTCATGACTATTTCATCTGTGGACGGTATTTCGTGAGATTCCAAACAACAATTTATCATTTAAATAAAACATTTTAACGGTTTAAAACGCGTTATATTAGTTAAACTTATTTGAAAATGACTTTTAACTTCGACTCGACGTTTCGGATGCTTTGCAGCAGCCGTGGTCACGGAGAGACAATTTATTATAAATTCATTAAAAAAGGTTTTGGATGTACACATATTTCTGGTGGGGATTGAACCCAAAACCCGTAAATTTTAAGCCATACTTTGCTACCATTAGACGAACGAGCCCGTCAATAAAGTGAAGCTAAAATTAAAAATTGGGCCACAGCACTTACTTAAAAAAAGGTTCAGTTCTTTTCACAAACAACCAAGTAAATATTTTCATTTTGACTATAGAACTACTACATACTTGACTTTAAAATAGGAACACAACCTACTTTTTGGTATTACTAAGCTTCTGAAATAGCTTTCAACAGCAATTCAATTAAAGAAAAAGGCAAAAAGGTGCAGAGTAAAAACCTCCGTTAGAAAATGAGAAACGAAATCTTCTAAATGTATAAACTTTCATTTATAAAGATTATAAACAAGGTCGGAGTGAAAACGAGTGTTGTTAGATGGAATTTAACTTTTTCCATTCCCCATTGTCCTTAGAACTTGGTTATTTAAATAAAGAGTCCCTATTATATCCCCTAAAATCAAGAGTTGCTTTATTATTGTTGAAGGCCTAATTGTATTATTTAAGCGAAAAACCTTTTAACGGGTTAAAACGCGAAATGTATGAATTAAACTTATTTACAAATAAATACGGTCTATAGTTTAAAAAGTATAATTAATTACGGCCCGTCGGTTCGGATTCTTGGCAGCAGACGTAGTCACAGGGACGGTAAGACATTTCGCCGTGACCACGGCGTTAAAAGTGTTTTATTTAAATGTGTACTACTCGCGTAGACTACAGACAGCGTTTTATTGTGCCCAATATTTTATCATATCCAATGTATGAAAAACATAAAACGTCCCTTCGCTCAAATAGCTAAATTAACATCCACTTCACCCTCGTTATCCCAAAAGTAGAGCTTTATAACAATGAAATTGTGTTGATGGAATAAACAAATGTTTAGAAATTACATGCAATTTCTCATAATTTAGCCATCTTTTCGGTACCTTGGCCTTTTAAAGAAGAAAATATGCCAGGTATATAGCGCACATACATATGTACATTGAAGTTATAACTGATCATTAATAATTTCAAGATTATATTTTTAAATAATCACTTATTTAAAAATTATTATTAATTCTGTCATCGAATATACCTAAAATAACATACAAATTTGCACGAAAATATATTCAATACTGTACTGAGATACTTGACTTTACTTATCACGAACAGAAAAATGATTCTGTTCGTGATAAGATTATAAATTTTAGGACAATTTGAAATAAAAACAAATTCAAAGAAATAGATAAACTTTGAAATATCGCATTTATATGTAAGCTACTTTTTAACTGAACGAGTATTACCATTGCATTAAAAAAGGGTTAGCAAACAAATTCAGCTCGTAAAAATGTTTGATGAGCCATCCCGCCAGATGGGGTGTTAGCTCCCAAATTATTTTATTGCCAGGCAAAAACCTATTTTCGCTTCGTTAGGCTTATTTCATTGCCCTTTTTTTCACCTCTATATTCCTGAGGTCGTCTGATTTAATTTTAATTTGTTAAAAATAAATGAGCTTTGTTTTTGAAACTTTTATTTGATCCTTTACTAGCTCACTCAAATAAGGAGAAATATAGGATGTTGTATTAGATTGCTTATTATTAAAGATTTATGATAATTTCGCTAATAATTGAACTAACACAATACAGACAAGCTTTAAGTTCACATAATGCAGGTAACACCCCAGTCTTCTAACAACAGTTGTTCGTGACCTGGACGGAATTTCAATATTCCTATCACGCATTCAATGTTCAGATTGTTTCAATAGAGCCTAATATGTTTTAGAAACATTGTGAATTCATAACATGTTGGACCTAGTAGGTGTCGAACCCACGACACGGTCGCAAAAACTATGCCGCGTTACGTCTGAAACAATTTAACGGTTAAAACAACATTTCGTATCCACCGCTACTGCAAAGCATCCGTAACGTCGGGCCATAATTAAAAAACATTATAAACAAGTTTGACTAATATTTTTCGCGTTTTGAACCGTTAAAGTAGTTTTATATGAATCTAAAGCAATTAAGGTCTTTTGAGTTTTTTTAATGCTGGTCAAATCCACGACCCGTTGTGTATTAGCTATCCATAGGATGGAAGAGTTATGAGATAACATTTAAAATTCAAAAAATACCTAGTCTAATTTAGCGAGTCATAAAGTTTCCTTATGACCCCATTTTCATTTAATAGTGGCAATAAATTTGCGGAAATACTCCTGATTTAACGCGGTTAAATATATCTTGGGTAATTTTATATCATTTAGCGTTACGCAAATGTACTATAATTGAGCTTACTTACCAGAAGAGGTAGTGCTATAAAAAATATTAATTCGACCATTTCGGGAAAGTATTATCTAATAAATCTGAAGTCCTTTTCAAATTTATAGAACATTTTTCGGGTTATTAATAAAAATATAATCCTTATAATAATCCTTGCTGATTTATTTTAGAAATTTTGTAAAACAAATATTATTTTATCGATGATGTTAATGTGACAACTGCAATCAACATCACAGAACATCGTAATATGACAGAAGGAATATTTTAATTTTTAAAAAGGATATTTTTACTAATATTATAAAGTTGAAGTTAAAAAAATATTTTGTGTTGAATATACATTTATCGCGGAAGGCTATATCACATCATAAACAGTAGAAAATGTAAAAAAATTGGGAAAATTATTCATTTTTACGGGCTTTCGTTGCAAGCACTGCGGAAGGGTTTAAGAAACCAAAAAATATATATTAAAGAATGATTCCTCTTTCAATTATCTAAAAAAATGCCCGCGGAAGTACTTGTGTATGTTTTAAGATTAGCTCGCAAGCTATGGTAATCAAATTTGGTCAAAATTAATTCATTACCAATTACTCGTTAGAATTGTATCAACATAATAATGTTAATCGTACAAACAAAACAACGTTTACCGGATATAAATGATAGGATAGAAAGACGACACAGTAACTAAGATATCACTTTAATAAAAACCTCATACAAATTTAACGCTTATTCTATACACTTTACAGCTGCTTGCAAACAAAATGTCTTCGTATTTACTGATTATAGTAACATTGTAAAAAATATACAAAATATTAGTGTATATATCAAAAATAGATAGTTAATAAAAATAAATATTTATGTGTGCTACATTCCAGTTCATCTTCTACAAAAATCGATTCAAAAATAACGTCATACTCGTAAATAACTAGAAAAATAGTTTACATTCATATACTTTACTGATTGCATTACATTATTTTTACATCAAAATAAACTTATAAGTTTACAAGGCATTATAAAACCCGATCATTTCCATAATGTTAAATATTTACAAAATTTATTTTCAATTTAAAAAAATATATAATGTGACTCGAAAACTCTAATAGCTTTGTAAACTGCTCTACAAAGCCTTCAATAATTAAAGGATAAATTTATGAAAATTATTCCGTTTCATAAACTGATCACGCACACTTCTATCTATCGATTTAATAAATTTACTAGATCTTGCAACCTTTACATTCCGTTGTACGCGGGACCGCCGCCTCCCTCTGGCACAACCCAGTTTATATTTTGTGATGGATCTTTTATATCGCACGTTTTACCTGTAAATTAAAAATGTTTAAACACTGTCTGTAGTACACATTTAAAACACTTTTAACGGCTTTCAACAAGAAATTATAACTTAGCTTATTTATATTTTTTTAACAGTATAATAAAGTATAAAACTTTATTAACTACGAAAATTACTAACTTAAAGATGAATACGAAATAGTGTATGTTCGTCTTTTTTCACCCCCTCCCTAATTTTTGAGCAAATTTGCTCTAATTGACATCATAACATCGAAAGTTACTTGAAAAGAACATACATTCGCTCTTTTGGGCTAACTGATATTAAGTTTTTAAGCAATGCGAGCAAAACCCTTATGTAAAACCTAGTTTGATAAAATACATTTTATTATTGACAACTCACAGTGTATGCAGTTTTGTGCGTTTATCTGTAGCCGCTGACCTTCGCCTGTCTCCAATGGGACGTATTCATATACACCTGAAAAATTTCACTTATATACGTCTTTAAAGTAAATAAAAATGTTATTTCGATGGTTTTTAAACCAGGATTTCAACTCTTCCAAATTGCTACGATTGGACCAACGAGTTAGTCAAATCTGAATGTTGCAAAAACTATAGACGATTAGAAATCGATTATAAATGTTCAAAAAAAATCGTCACGGGCAGAACTTGAACCGGAATTTATAGCGTTCCGAGCTGTTGCTCTAACCAATTGAGGTACCGTAACACGATTTAAGTCCTGCCCGTGTCGTAATTTTTTTTTCAATTTATAATCGATTTTTAATTTATATAGTGCCATCATGTGCAACATACTACATGTGAGAAATATTAAAGTTTTAGATTAAAGACAGTTTGAAAAAGCATTTGAAAGTACAAGAATATAAATGTCTAGCTTACCAGCAGGACAAAATCTGGCCTCAGGTCCATCAAACACACTGAGGTTATTCTTGACTGGCACAGTATCGTCTTGCAACGTCAGATGAGGGGGCTGGTCTGCCTCGTGGTTGGTTCCTGAAAATAATTTGAAGACACTATAGTACTTTATACCGTTTTTGTAGCCAAATGATTAAACTTGACTAGCATTGCGTTCAGCTACCGGGGATTAATAATCCAGGGGAAGCAATACAAAGAAATCTGTAAAATCAATCTCTGTCTGTAAAAAAAACCAATTAGTGAAAAGAAATGTGTTCGGCCCATGCCCTGTAGGGGGAAACGGGATTTGACAAGTTTTCTTTCTTTATAAGCATTTTCTCTCTCGTACTGGTTAAGTAAATATTGACTATAGTTTACGCGAGTAGAACACATATAAATAAATACTTGAACAGTTTAAAACGCGAAATCTATTAGATTAATTATTTTATGTTCCTTGCGGCTGTTTGGAGAAGATAAACATTTAATTACATAGAACTTAAATAAAACACTTTAACTGTTTAAAACATGAGATATATTCTTCAACCGTGGTCACGTTGCCCTGTGACCACGTCTGCTGCAAAGCATCCGAAACGTCGTGCCGTAGAAAATAAGTTTAAGTAGTATATATCGCGTTTTAAACCGTTAAAGTGTTTTATTTATATTTGTACTACTCGCGTAAACTACAGAGACAGTATAATCACTGTTTACATACTACATAATAGAACAGACATGCGTAAGATTCGCTGGATGGAATGTAGAGTACCTCTAGCCATATAGGCTTTGGAAATTCAGATTGAGTATATTTACCTGTTAGGGCCACAGAGGATAGGAGATCAAAGGTAATAACGCCATCTGGCTTTGGATACTCGATGGGTTTGCATTCCTTGGCCGGTTTGAGTTTCGCGTGATCAGCACCTTTTAAAACATACAGATGTTAAACAATTTTAATTAAAAAGATCCAACCGTAGAATAAAAAAAAAATTGTAAAGGTCTGTTATCAAAGTGTGTTACATTTTTGGGTACTACTTGTTATCTGTAAAGGGACAGACTGAAAATCAGCGCTGAGCAAGCTCTGCTAAGCAAAAGCTGCGTCTAATGCCTTTTAGCACAAAGTTAAAAAATAAGTTCTTTTTTTTATTGTTACTCATTTTAATTGTAATTTATGTATACAAAAGTCGAATCAACTACTTACAATTGTATTAACACATTATTTAATAGGTTCATGTAATTTCTAATATCTCTTACCTCCATGGCTGAGTGTCCAAGGTTCTTTACCGCGCACTAATGTCGAGAACGCAGAATAGGCTAGGCCACCGTAAAGTCCCATGGAAGTGTGGAACGATGGCCGGCAGTTTCGTACTTGCTACAAATATATTACAAAACTTTTCATTCTAGGCTTATTTATCTATACTAATATATTCAGCTGAAGAGTTTGTTTGACCGCGCTAATCTCAGGAGCTACTGGTTTGAATTGGAAAACTATTTTTGTGTTAGTTGTAACATTTATCGATCGAGACTATATAATATCTGGACATATAAACAAAGGGAACTATATAAAAAAAACGGTATGATTAAACCTTTTTTTTTTTGTTGATTTCTGTTGCGTGTGCTCACACGCACGTGTGAAAATGTGAAAACGGTTTCTAAATACCAAAAAAAATATGTCTATCTTGTAAGATTAACTTGCAACAACGACGGGACACGCAAGACGTCGTGGATAACAGCTTAAATTTATAGAGTTGAACAGGAGTTTGCAAGAACAAAAATTGATACCCAAAATAACTATGCTACGCAGACGACGTCGCTGACTCAGCTAGTGTTTCATAAAGCAAAAGAAAGCTAGCTCAGCTACAGAAATAATAATGAGTGATTTAAATGTTTACCTTCAGTTCCTTATAAACATAGGACTCCCGTAGTCTGTCTTCATACAGCGTCGGCGTAACGCCGTTCTCGTGAGTTGCTTCACCGGATAATATTAATTCCATAGCACTCTCAGCGGCCAGCATACCTGAAACGAAGTCGCACATTAAAAGAATTATGTCTATTTAAAATATCTTTGACCATTTCATGTAAAATGCAATCAAAGTACCACCTCACAGTAATATACGGAAAATATGAAATGTGTGGCTAATCAACGAATCGTGAATTCGATCCTCACCGGGTCTCCAACATTTTATAATTTATATTAATTTTTTTCTTGATCATTTTGGATTTTGTCTGATAATCTGTGGTAGGAATATCAAATTTAGACCCGATGGAGATCGAAGCCATGACCTGGTAATTATTAATCACACATTGCTACCATTACGTTAGTAAAGTTAGTTACCCTAAACACTGTAGTACATAAACACTTACCACTCTTCATAGCGTTATGCGTCCCCTTAATTCTAGGTACGTTAAGGAAACCCGCGGTGTCACCAGCCAGACACCCACCAGGGAACACCGTTTTGGGGAGACACTGCCAACCCCCCTCCACTAAAGCGCGAGCACCGTACGCTATCCGTGTTCCACCTGAAAACATATTCATTATAATATGTGTAGTAATATTATAAAGCTGAAGAGTTTTTTGTTTGAACGCGCTTATCTCAGAAATTACTGAGTCGAATTGAAAAAATGCTTTTTTGTTGGTGTGACATTTCGGTTGGTTTATTTATCTATTTATAAAAGCTATGTTATATAATTTATCATAATTACCTTCAAACATAGGCTTCACATAGGGATGCAACTTGAACCTCTGGAATTCCCTAAATGGACTCAAATAAGGATTTTGATAGTCCAGCCCCACGACAAAGCCAACCGCCACGAGGGGTGCTTCGCCTTCACCAGCTTGCAGGTGGTAAATGAATGATCCCCCATAAGTATTTTTATCTAGAGGCCATCCTATTGTGTGCTCTACGAGTCCTGGGTGGTGATTCTATGGGGAAGAAGTTTGAAAATTTCATAAACTATAACAAATTTAAATAAAACACTATTAACGGTATTAATTAAAAAAAAAGAAATTTAAAAGCTACTACACGAGCAGGACTTGAACCGGCGTCCACAGCGTTCCGTGCTGTTGGTCTAACATGTGAAAAATATGTAATTTGTCAAACTATTAACGGTTTCAAACGCGAAATATATTAGTTAGCTAACATATTTCGCGTTTTATACCGTTAAAAGTATTTTAATTAAATTCGTAAACTAAAGACGAAACTTAAGCATTAAAGCTAAACCAAAAGTACACCTTTTGTATTTTTAATTCCTTCCACGTTATCAACTCATGTTGGTGACTTACCTCTGGTTTTACTTCCCACAGCTCCTTCAACCCAATACCATACGATTGTGGTTCACTGTTCTCTCTCAAGTTGTACTTCTTAGACACCATTTTCGTTAAATGTCCATGGCACCCTGTAATATTATTAATTTATTACATTAGAAAAAAAAAAGACATATGTTATCTATACAATGGTATGGTACATATATTTGTACCTTTTTGCACCCGTTTAACTGTTCCACGAAATTCGAACCCAATACTTCTCGTCTTAACGTTCTACCATTGAGCTACCGAAGTGTCAAATGGAATATACATATAATTATATTTATTTCTTAATTATATTATTCATTATTATATAGCTGTAGAAGATTTAATAAGAGCAATATCTATGAGTCTGTTGGACTTAATCTTATTTAAAATACATATATTTTTATACGGCATCAACTAAATAAATAATAATTTATTACCTTCAGTGAAAATAGTAATCTTTGAATGAAACTCCATTCCTCGCTCAAACATATCTTTAGGACTTCCATCTTTGGCTATGCCCACGTCTCCCGTGGCCACACCTTTAAGGGAGCCATCGTCTCGATATATTAGGTCTGCGCCAGCGCATCCTGGCCAAACCTGGAAAATAATTTTATGTATATATTACACAATAAATAACATGATGTTTATTTTTGGTGAAACCGGAGAAATCGAGGAGTTTTTAAAAATCATAGGAACAACTACTAGTGCCTTGTAGGTTATACGGTAATTTAAAGCATTACATTTTAATAACGGTTTTAAAGTAGGTCTGATGATGTAGCCAAGAGACAGTGTAAGGAACTTCTCAAGAATCACAACAGTTACCATGTGTTTTAGCTTAATTTACCTATATTGATGAGAAATGTCTATGTAGAGTACGATAAGCATTTTTATTGGACGTAAAATTATAAATCAACCTTTAAATTATAAAATGTTTCTTAAATAATTTGTATTTAACTTAATCAAAATATGTCTAACTTTGTGAGAGCAACTTTTTTTTAAGTTTACAGTTTGGAGGTTATACTAATTGGTAGAAAAAATACTCAATTTAATAATTATGAAGGTTCACTAACTATTTCAAATTATATGTAATGATGTTTTTGTGTCCATTGTGTAGGTAGGTAGTTAATATTTATTCTTGATAAAACCATTGAGTATATTATATTAAAAATACCTCAGCACCAGCTGCTTCCGCCTGTTCAGAAAGCCATCTTACTAAATGCCCCAATCTCACTACATAGTTGCCATGATTGTAGTTGGGTAAACCTGAAAGATATTTATAAATTAATAAAATTTGTTTTATAAAAAGACCTGGTTTTATGTATGTTTAAAAATGGAAAACATATAGAATAAGAGGAAATTTTTTTTTTTTATTTAGACTTAATCTTATTTTTCTACTTTCATTAGTAGTTTAGAAAAATTAAAACAAAACAAGAGATATTTTTACAACGATTTCTACTAACAAGTTCCTTAAATCAAGATTTACAGTAATTATATACTCACCAGGAAAGACAGGTATTGGTATTCTACCACTTTTGGTTAACAAACCAAATTTATCCGAGGATACAGGGGTGTCGAATGGAGCACCCTTCTCTTTCCAGTCGGGAATCAATTCATTCAGGGCGATGGGATCTACACACGCCCCAGATAAAATGTGACCACCGGCTTCTGCTGCTTTTTCTAATAGGGTCACACGGACTTCCTAAAACATAGACAACATAAGAAGTAAAATTTGCTTCTAGAGATGTATTTTTTTCCTAAAGGAGCATGTATGTAGGTTGTGTTCCCAATAAAAGGAAAAATTATTTGGTTTTAGTTAAAATAAAACAAATATACCTTAACTAGTACATTTATAGCTAAACCGTTTAAAGGAATTTTATGTAAATATTATTTGGTATACTAACAGCTAACATATTTGGACCCACCCACCACCATCAGTATAGTAAAAACCTATATTTGACTATGAAGGTCATTGGTTACTAACCTTTTCTGAACCCAATGTAAAGTGATACATTTTACAAAACTACCAATGTTTTCAATATGTAAACAGTATTTAACTAGTGTATTAATTAAATTAACTTACAGCTCCCTTCTCCTCTGCTATTTGTCTTGCTCTTATAGCTGCTGCCATCCCAGCTGGACCTCCCCCAATAATTAGTATATCTGTCTCCTCGGCCATTCTTTCCATGTTTATTTCTGTAATAATGATATTGAACCATCTTGCACTTATGTTTTATTATAGTTCTATAGTGTGGACAGTCTATGTACTGATGACTACCAATGTAAACTTAGCATTAGATGATTTATAGTTGTTTAATAAATTGTTTCAAAGGTAACAAGTTTTTGGTTATTAATAAATACCAATAGTTGAGAGAACCTTCAAAATTCTTATCATCGTGTTTAAACTTAAGATAGTATCTTTAATTGTTTATAATGTGATAAGAACATTTGTATGTGGTTGTGATATTAATGAATGCTTAATAATTATAACCTTGTATCAATACTGGAATAAAACTTTTAAAGCAATTTAGCATTCATATATGAAATTCAGAATGACCCGTTAAAAATATTCTTTAAGTATTGTTTTATTTTAAGAAAAAATTGTCCCTTTTTGTTCAAATATCTGATTAATTAATAGTTATTATTAACCAACCTGTCCATCTTGAATCCTTATCTCTCGGGTGAACTGTGTAATGGGTTGTTATCTTTGGAAAATCTGAATAAAGCCTTTTCGCAGCGCTTGTTAACCTCCCGACTGAAATTTTATCACAAAAACATATCAACAAAAATAAAGAAGTGAAGGGTGAACTTTGAACTCGAACATAATATTGCATAATCTAAAGCAAAACTTCAGGGCTGTTAATTATTCGCATTAATACATTTAATATTTAGAATAACGAGTTCAAAAACAAACAATTGTTAAAAAACTTAATATTCCCAAAACAGCTGACGACACAGACGTATATCAGAAACTTTTTATGCACAATAATTAATTGTAATTTGAATGAAAAATAACACAGTTATATATATAGAAACACTTTATCATAAACTTCTTTTATAAAAGTAGTTTGAAACACTTAAAAACAAATAAAAATTACCCTGACGAGCCGAATTAACAATCGCTGTCGCCATTGTTGAAAAAAAACTAAAAACAAACGTTTCGTTTACCGTAAACGGTCACAGTCCGTATGTCAATAACATTTTTATATATGATTATAAAAACATATATTATATGTATTTAATATAACTTTAATATATATCACCATTTCTATTATCTCCAATTAAAACATTATTATCTAATATATTACAGACAAAAAATAAGTTACCGTAGAACTAAACGTTAAATCGGCGGGAAATTCAAATGACGCTAAATGGTCTCTTGATTGGTATTTCTTTATAAAGTTAATGATTGTATTTTTTAGTCTATTTAGTGTTATGAAGTATGTATTTAAGGGTTAACTTTACATTTTAATATATTAACATTTTCTTATGATGGAAGAATACATACGAGAATTCATGGAAGGTGGAATACCACAGCCATGCAGCATTTCAAAAAATGCGCTGTCGAGTTATTTTCTGGCTTTGAATATTCAGTAATATTTCTTTCTATAAGGTTTAAATTTGAAAAATAAAATATCTCAGTATCTTTACACATTTCTTGTCCTGTATTAAGATAGTTGGGTAATAATGAACAACGAATTCTTTGTGCACTATATTTTATTAATAAAAGCAAAACCTTAAAATAAATTACATATACATGACACGATGGACGACATTAACGCCTTACTTCACTGGTTTCATCTGCCATAATCCATCATTGAGGTAGTGACAGTTCTCAATTCCAACTCCTTTATTTACTTTAGCTCTGAAACAGGGAGACGGAACGTAAATTATGATATGTAGTTGTTTTGAGATTATTAGCAAAAATTACAATAACATTAGTCTTCCATTTCTCTGGCTACTACTCTTAATCTATACTTATATTATAAAGCTCAGGATTTTGAACGCGTTAATCTTAGGGAGTACTGGTTCGAATTGCAATATTCTTAATAATTTCAAAGGCTGCGACCAATAGGAGCGATGAGGGTACCGCTGCGTGGGCTGCAAAGACGGTACAAGATACCCATAAATATGTAAGCTGGTATTATCTTTAAGTCATCTAATAAATGTCGGCAACAGTATATGTCTACGTTTTAAAATTAACACAAATTAACTGTTTTCATTGTCATCAAATTACGTCAAAATGCTTCGTATGGCAAAAAAACTTTGAATTTTATCTTTCGTATAACCTTAATTTAAATATTTTAATTTCCTTGAATGTCTGATACTTGTAGTATGATAACTTAGATTTATTAAACATATAATTGTATGTTAGCATAGACAGTCCAACAAAGATTCTTAAAGCCTGTTGTGGATTTACAAAATATAGCACTAGAAACCAACCATCAATTGTCTCTTTTTATATATATTCGTATAATATATAAATGGGGCTGCTACATGATTTTTATAAGGAGGAAAATAAAATTGCGCAATTAACTAAGGCGAAATAGAATTTGTACAATTATTTCAGTTAGAATTATGTTAACAGTTCTTTTTCGGTTACATTTATGTGCTGTGCAAATATAAATATGTCATGTCATAAAGTTACAGTTACTCTGCCTCTAGCGGCCTCAGATATAAGTATATAGTTAAATACTTGAAAACGAATTACATATCATCAGTAGACAAAGATGTAACTCCTATAGCCAGAGCATGTTCCTTCCCTTCTGCCATGACTGCAACCACGCTGCCCTTTTCCACAGAGCTCATCCGAGCACCTGGTGACGTCAGACCTGGACACATTATGTTGGCACCACTGAGCACGAATCGAATAGCACCTTTGTCGACCTGCTGCATTGGCAGGAAAAATGGATCTGGAATACGATAAACATATTTTGTTAGATACTGTCTATAGTTTACGCGAGTAGTACACATTTAAATAAAACACTTTAACGGTTCAAAACGTCGGGCGAAATTAGTTAAACTTATTAGCAAATGATTTTTAACTTCGGCCGACATTTCGGATGTTTGCAGCAGCAGCTCCCCGTAAACCAGTTTTATTTACATATTTTGTTATTTATAATTATTAAGAATCGTTACTTTTATAATTGGCTAATAAATTTAAGAATGAGATATTTTTTATCATAGAGGAGGACATAATATAACCTCATTCTTATATTTGTTTCACTTGATAGAAGGTGAAATACCTCAGCCATATAATATTTAAACAAGGTGCGCTATCGACCTATTTTCGCTTTAGATATTCCAAAATCCAGACTGAAACCGAAATGGGACAAATCTTCATCATGCTTCAGAAAATTACAAATTGTAATTAGAAACATGTTGGATGTGTTAGGGATCAACACACGATCCGACAAACGATCGGCCAACGAGGCCGCCATCTTAATTATCATTTTTTTTATTAATTCTTACATTTATGTAACAGTCTAAGTGTGGGCATCCAAGATCCTTCTCTATGCCTGAAGAAGAGAAGTTCTCCAGCACTATTCACCATGATTTCGATGTGGTCGTGGCTGGAAATTAAAAGGATAGAAAACATTATTTGAACTTACTAGTAATTTATATAAAATGATTAATGGAAATGATTTTCTAGGATTAAGATCTATTATCTATACTAATTGAATAAAGCTAAAGAGTTTGTTTGTTTAAACACGCTAATCTCAGGAACTAAAAGTTCGAATTTGAAAATTATCTTTGTGTTAGTTTGACCAATAAACGCAAAGAAACAGACAGAAATGTGAAAAATACGGAGAAAACTATTCGTCTTTGAGGTTTTAAAAAATCTGAAAAATATATTGGAGAGAGTATATGTCTATCTTTCTAAGATCCGTCTTATGGTTACGAAATTTCTTCAAAATACTTTACTCCATCCAAAACATTGTCCAAAGATAAACCATAAACGTCTTACCATTTGACAATCCTAAAAGTGTCCTTCTTGGGCAAAACTTGATCAATATAGTTCTCTAGATGCGGGTACAGTTCCAACAGTCTTGATCTGATGCCCTTTTGGACAGATGACTTCAACTGTTGCACACCGGAAATGCTTTCCTTCTCGTCGAATCTGAAACAAATGTTGGTTCAGGTTTAGTTTTTGAACCTTTTTATTGAAACTTTATTATATACTTATATAATAAAAGTTTCTATGATTTCTTTTTAAGAAACATAGTAGGTACCACAGTAATATTTGAAACCCCTTTCTACATAAAGAAAATAATGCAAGGTTTACTTCTTTTAAATGAAACACTTTAACGGTTTAAAACGCGATATATATTAGTTAAACTTATTTGAAAAATATTTTTAACTACGGCCCGACACGTTTCGTATGCTTCGCAGCAGCCGTGGTCACGGGGAGACAAACAAATATTTTAAAATAAGTTTAACTAATATATATCGCGTTTTAAACCGTTAAAATGTTTTATTTAAATTTGTAGGTACTTCTTGCTTAAACTACAGACAGTATTAAAGGTTTTTTGTTTAAATGGTCATTAACGGATTAGTATACCATTGCTGAGTATAAATCTCAGTAACAGTAAATATTTTCGGTCGGGCAGGGCACAGAAGTTTGATCAACTACTTGCCAGTAAATAAAACCGATCAGCATAGGGCGGACACAGAAATGTGTTCGCGCTATGCTCCACGAGGGCGAAACGGGATTTCACTTTTAGGCCCAACCTGTGATACAAACCCGGAACCTCGTGATCTGAAATCGTGTTTACCACTAGGCCAAAAAGGCAGGTTTAAATGATAGTATATTCTAAAGTTTATGTTACCCGATAAAATTATATAGAGGTAAAACATGGTAATAATGAGTAAGTAATATTGAACAACTAGATACAATCAACTATTCTGGACTTGAACTGCTATCCACGGCGTCGCTGCTCTAACCAATTAAGCTACCGTCACGTCGAATTTCTTTAACACTTTGATATTATATGCACCTCTCGCGCAATTTAATTTCAACATTCACACTTACATACTGAAAGATATAGTCTATTTTCAGACTGCCGCAAAAAAAGGACCCGAAACCGATTCTAATATACGCGATCAAATCGAGACACCACTTAGGTGTTTTATTTTGCCATGATCCACGGGGCCAGTAGAATAGCAAATTCTATAAGCCAGAGAAATGACAGGCCAGATTAAATACCAGAATTGGGTTGCAGGTGAAATGTACCGTTATGAACAAGTTAGGAGTTATTGCGTTGTGAAAGCGTCCATCTCAATTCAAAACCGCGTGGCATTCACTCTTGCGTCGTTTAAACCGTCACGCCAGTACACAGTAGGTATCTAAGCATTTGAGCATGAAAATATGCAAAAACTTTACCTGAAGTAACTATTGTGGTACTAAATATTCTTTATTTATTACTACATAAATCTTAAATATAAATTTAAATTAATATCTTGTAGAATAATTTTAATTAACTGTGCCCTATTAATAAAATGCCCGCCTCTGTAGCTAAATGGTAAGCTGTTAAATTCACGCGAGAGATCCTGGGGTCGAACCCGGGAAAGCAATATATTGTGTCGGTCGGGCAGGGCACAGAAATTTTTCAACAATTTTAAACTCAATTTATACTACGAATCTAAAGTGTCGGATCTCTACTATTGTATTGACATAAGCGACGTCCGCCATTATTATTCCACTCCTCGGTTTGAACTGATCGGGTTTAGTTATTGCGAGTTTTAAACCGTTAAAGTGTTTTTTTTTTTCATTTAAATCTCGATACTATATACCAATATGACCTAGGTTACTTTTAAATTACGTTGGTTATACCTAGGCACGTTTGCAAATGACGCGCCTACTTGCAAAGGCTTCTTACTAATCCCCAATGCGTGACTTTTGCAAAAGAACAACTACTACCTATATCGATCCTTTAGTAATCGCTCTATTTAGTAGAAGTTATTGAGAAAACATCTTATAAGTAAGAAAGTAACAATATCAAAATACCGATAAGCCAATAAAACAGTTTTTCTTCGAATCGTAATTACTAAATTCATTTTTGTATGTTGTACGGTGATATGTAATGATAATTATATAATAAATATATATGAATTGTCAAATATTATATGGAAGATGGTAGGCAAGATGATGGATTTTACTAATTGTTTGATTATAATACAACTTTTGTTATACTTGCAAAGTTTTAAAAATACTTATATGTAGTTAAGAATGTTTGGTTGTATATCTGCTAACACACCAAATCGGGCCTATTTGTATGTTGCAATAACTTGATGCAGGTCACCAACTCGATAACAAATTGAAAAAATTTACGACACGGGCAGGAGTTGGCCGGCATCCACAGCGTCCCGTGCTCGCTCTAACCAATTGTGCGAATCACGAAGTCGAATTTTTGTCAACCTATTATATGCACCTCCCGGGCAATGTAACATCAACCTTAACACTTGACGCTTAGCAGCTTAATGTAGTGACATCACATGCATTAACATGTGAAAAATTAAATGGCACTCTCTAAAAAATGGCGTAAAGTCGGTTAGTAGTTTATTTATATACGTAGTACAACAATATCTTAGTGGTTTTCTTGGTAATATGAAGCACAGGATTGTACAAAAACCTGTTGTAACTCCTTTCAAACCGGATGCTTTGTCAATATGAACGCGGCGCAATGTTATAAAAGGTATAAAGGAATATAATCCATAGTGCAAGATATTTTCATACTAGTCGCAATTTCCAACTAGCAACAGCAAATAAATAGTAGTTAGTAATTAAATAAAACTAAAAACACTTAAAATGGTTATTTTGGAAATTAATTCAACTACGACCCGACGTTTCGAATTATTTGCAACAGTCGTGGTCACGGGGAGACTAAAGATGGTCAGTGTCTCTAATGTCAAAGTAACATTGCGTGACCACTGCTGCTGCAAAGAATCCGAAACGTCGGGCCGCAGTTAAAATAGTGCAAATAAGTGAACTATATAATTTAAAAATCGAAAATAAATTGAAAAAATTTTCGACTCGGGCAAGACTTGAACCGCATCGTCAGGTTCCGTGCTGTTGCTCTACCAATTGAGCGAGTCCAACCTCACTGATTTTTTCAACTGATACATGCACTCTCGCGCAATTAATTAAAACTTTAACACTGCTATTAAGGTTCAATGCTTTGCTTGCTCTTAAGAAACTTAAGATATTTACAAAGTTTAACATTTGAAAATTAATATTTTTCATAAGTTTAACTAATCAATATTGAGTTATAACCCGTAAAAGTGTTTTATTTAAATGTGTACTACCGTAAACTACAGATAGTGTTTAGTAGTGGGGGATAACAAGGAAAAAAAATTGTCTCGTTAGCTCATCACGTGATCTAGGAATCCAATTCCGGGTTGGGCGAACGTTGAAATTTTTCTTAGAAAATCTAATCGCAGGGAGATTGGATGGAGGTGCCATTACTGCAATCCTGGGATACAAACCCGGAACCGTACTGGTGGTTGTTTCAGCATCTAACGCATGATGGGCCGTCATGCTAGAAAGGAGTGCCCAACAGCGGGCATTGATATAAAATTGTCGATCAACAAACAAGGATGTAGATTTCTAAAGAATTTGAAACGGATTTGTTATAACGGCAGTGTTTTTCCGATAAATAGAGCCCTATGATAAGGAGATAAAAAATTATTAGTAAAATTGATTACAATAACATTGGCGATATCAGAGACACTTATAACAAGGCTGTGCCAAAAATTTTCAAATCTATACTAATACTATAAATCTAGAGAGTCTGTTTGTTTGTTTGTCTACCCTATACCATGAAGAAAAAATATTTTAGTGTGAAATGTGTAAATCTATTCATCTTTGAGGGTTCCTGTTGCGTGCGTAGCAAAAACTATGAAATAATAATTTCTCTTTAAATTATAAAAAAATCTCTAAATATATAAAATCAACTTACAAGAACGATGGGATGCAACGTCACACCCACGTTGTGGTTAACAGTTTTAATTTATAAAGATAGAGGATAAGGTTCGCAAAAACAAATTTTAACGCCTAACATAACTATTATATACGACGCAGTCGCTGGCACAGCTAGAATAACTATATAAACGTATTCTTTGCCCGCGTCCTTTGAATACCTCAAATTTTAACTTCTATTGAGGAAATAAACGATTCGTTACGCCGTACGACGCGATCCTTGAATTTTTCACTTAGACATGTCTCAGCAGTCTCTACGTCCGTATCACTTTGCCTATTAATTCAGAAGATGTTCAAGTCTAATCGGTGCTCAGAATAGTCTCAGCTAGTCTCCCGTGACTGCAACTCATCTAAAACGTCATTTAAAAGTGTTTTATTTAAATCGTGGCATTGATATGTTTTTACGCGAACGAAACAATACGAGTTATATAGTATACCCATTATCTATACTAATATTATAAATGCGAAAGTAACTGTCTGTCTATCCCGCTTTAACTCCGAAACTACTGAACTGATTTAAATGAAATTTGGTACACAAATATTTTAGAGCCTAAGAAAAGTAGAGCATAAGCTACTTTTTAATGCCAAAAAAGTAGCTTATGCTCTACTATACTATAAGAACTTCGTGGTTTTGGAAGCTAGAACAATGAAACTTTCTTCTTTGGCTTTTTGGGAACAGGATGGAGTGAGTGAAGGGATGAGAGTGGGAGTTAGAGTAGGAGTGATATGAGGTGAGATTGCGGCACAGTAGCACTTACAACATAGATTGGCTGCCCTAAATGCGCCCATACATAAATTAATAAACAACCTATATTAAAATTCTACCCCAAGTCACTATTCTTATTATATTAGTAAATTTGACGCAGCCCTATCTAACTGTGTCACACTTCCAATGACAGCGGCGCACACGATTCCGCCACGCCACCACGTGATTACCTTATCACGTGGACCCACTCCACGTGCATTACACAACCGTAATTTTTCACACAACGTCCATGGACTATTTATAACGCACGTTTTACTCATCCGTTGGGTAATTGCAGCAATGGACTGCGCTTATAAATAGAGTTATTGTTTCACGTGGTCTATATCGCTATGCAATATTGTAGATCTTTAATGTAATTCATTATGAAACTATATTATTTAATTATGTACGACACCTTATAGCGCTAAAAGTACTTTACAATGGTTTACTTCGTATTTTTTTAAGACACGGCAGATAATTATGGGGTCAACTATCCAACAATTTTAAAAATAAATTAAGCCCAATGTAAATCGAAGACCCATTGATTATTATTTGTACTTTTGTATCAATAAAATGATAACCTTCTTAAAGAAAAACAAAAAACACATTAAAACAACCGACAAAACATTATTACATTTTGTTTCTTATATGGCTTTTGTATTATGTTGTACAAAAACAAATTTATTCAGTACAACATTTAACTTGCAAGTATTCGTTTCCTTGAAGAATCTTTACTAACACAATAAACTATAGTACAAGTCCATTCCAAATAAACTAATGATATCACTAATGAAAATGCTAAGCTCGATAGAGTAATAAAATCGGAAATAAATCAGTAACACTCTTCCAAGTTTTACGATCTAACAACACCGGACGAGCACCGGACAATACATTTATATTTATAGGCATTTGTTTTCGCGAAAATATCCTAAAACGTATGTAGGCACTTAGTAACTACAGCCTGACCCCGTTAGATGACTTGGTTTGGTTAATCCTGACATGTCATCGAAACATATTGTACTTGCAGACGTGTGTGGCTCTGTAGCAGCACCACACACACATATAAATGGCGTGTATAAGGATCGATGTTATTGGTTAATAAATGATTACAATTATAAACAAAACATGTAGTTTCCTTCGCTACATTGGTGACCCCGACATGATTCTGCCCGACGATTCTGCCAAATGCTGAGGACCCAATTGTGCCTACACGTATGTTTATATCGTATACCATATCATCTCTAACAGCGCTCATGTCGCTCAAAGCTAAAGATATTACACAGCTTTGCGTTAAGAGATCCGGGTTTGAAATCCGGGGTAACATAAGAAACAGTTTTAGGCAGACATCTGTTAACTCATTGCCTGTTTGTAAGTAAAAAGTGATATACTAAATTGTGTAAAGCTTTCAGCCCGAAAAACAATAGGTGGTATTACTTGCCTATTTAGAAATTCGGGTTGGTAACAGAGGTCTCTCTTTTAGACCACTTATATTTCGACCAATACCAACTTTTAACCCTGGACAAGTGTACCACTCAAGACTAAAGAAAAGGTTGGTTTAATTAATTAATTATCTATTGATCGAGCAAAATTTTGGAAGGTTAATTACTTCACAATCTTCGATAGTCTAAATTGTTCATATTCTAAAAGAGCAATCATTTCAGCGATCTACGATAAAGCAATTTCGATTTCTAGACTTCTAGGTCAAAATAGTTCGATCGGATGAACTAAATTTATTATTTATTGGCGCAGATTGCAACAACAATTAATTGCCACAATACAGTTCTGAAATCATTCATTTCTCGTATACATTATATTGGCTTTGTAATGTTTCCATTTCGTATATAATCGTCGTATAAAAACAACTTATTTCTGACTGTCATGCCAATTACGAATTCAGCGCTTTATCTATACTAATATACATAGCTGGAGAGTTTCTCGTTTGTTTGTTTAAACGCGGTAATCTCAGGAACTACTGGTTCGAATTGAAATATTCTTCGACGAATATCGAGGACCGTTATAGGTTGTAAAATATCACGCTGCGTGGTAAAAACGGTGAAATAGTATTTCACCTTTGAAAGTTTCCGTTGCGTGTGCTGTGAAAATGGTTCACGATACCCAAAAAATATGTATGAAGGTATGATTAATCTTTGAATGTTTAAAAAAAATATCAACACTATCTTTAAATAACAAATTTGGATGCCTTTATTACTAATTACTATTTTATGCGGACAAAGACGCTGACACAACTCAGTTACTAGAATAAGGCAATTCGTCGCTGGAACGTAATAAATCATAAAGATTATATTAGAAGAGAATCCACATTCCATCACTACCGAAACCAAGTCGATAACTAATTCAGCGCCATTCTGGTACTGGCAGAAAAATGCATGTTGGCTTCGGTTGGAAACGAACTCATGACCCGTAGTTGCATTGTATTACTATCGTGGAACCAATCCTAGTTCTATAACATAATAACAACAATGTCATGAATGTTTTCGACTTTCTCTTAGCTTCGTAAAACTTACTTAGCTTACTTGGCAGTATCATTAATTACGTAATACAAAGTAAGATGTATAATTGACCTATTGATATAATTAAAAGATAAAGTACCGACACACACATAATGTTTGTTAACCCAGACACAGTGTCGGGGCGTGAACTTTTGTGACGCTGTAATGGAATTTTTAATTAGTTCATCCTGTTGACCTTTTAAGGAAATATAAATTTTGTAGTCAAAGAATATTGATCTGAAATCGCGTGTGAAACATGCTAAGTGGCAAACATTGGCGTGACTTTAGTAGGTTAGTTTTACTATTCATAATGTTGATAAAATTAAGTAATAATAATTTTGTAAAATTGGTAAATTTACTTAATTCACATTGATTTATCAAGTGTTTTTTATTTTTATTTTTGGCTCTTCCCCGCCCCTCTGACGCAATCAGATGAGCAGAATAGACTTCGAACAGAGTCAGAACTCTTCTATACTAAATGTATTGGACGGATACCACTATGATGCATTACGTCTCGTCAGCCTTAACTGCATTTTATGTTCGTGATTTTTTATCAAACCCAGTTTTTCCTTTGAAGCCTCACGTAACTAATTATTCTACATTTCTTATTATACTTCGCTTTTTAAACCATTAAAACAGTTGCATTTCAAACAACAACATCCATTTGATGCCGTAATAAAATCAATTTTAAGACAAGAGTTTACACAAACTAGTATTCGTCGAAAATCGTTTGGTCGATGCAACAGGAAGGAAACATGTGTTTCTTTCTCAAAGTCATCGAACTAAGGAAAATTATACTGACGTAGGTCAAAACATATTGTGGTTTTTGAGTAACGATTTTTCCATTATCCTGCATTAATTTTTTATATACAGTTCCTAAATTATAATATACCCAATAAATATGTTTTAAAACAAATAATATTTTGTATTTAATAAAATTTTGATGTCTAACTATTTAAATAGAAAGTTTTGTATTTGTTGTACTGTGTGTGCATTAAACAATAGAATAGCTAAAATAGACCGACATAACATCATTTTAAGAATAGCTCTTGAAATTCAGATCATTTTTAACTTTTTATAAGACTCGTCTCTTCTATGAGGAAACACTAGTGTCGAAGCTTGTCGGGTCGGGAAAACTACCTACATGACCGTATTGTTAGTCGCGTGACGTCTTCGAGATAATCATTTTATAACATTATGTACTTTAGACAAACATTATGTTAGTCTTCAGTCATAAATAGAATAAATTTTAACAGTATTTTACAAACTTTCAAATGTCAAAAATTCAAAAAATAGAGAATAGATATGAAATCATTTAATAAACATCGATTTCACATCTATTTCGACTCAACTGTGGGGGTCAACCACGAGAAACGAAAATAGACGCAGTTCTTCAAGCATTTCTGGCATTGATTATTTCTAATCCTAGCCCATTTCTCATTAAAAACATCTAAATTATTTTATGTATTCTATGTTAAGAGACCTAGTTACTAACTTTAGGTTAGAGTTATTAGTTATTACTAACTGAATTGTTTAAAATTTAATGCAGCAAAGATACAACGCCATTTTAGTGAACTTTTAAATTATTATTATTTTTATGATAGTGGAGGACGGAAAAGAATGGGGTCCACTCGATGGTTGATGTAATATTCCCCATTTAGCATCTAAATTCCGAACACATTCCGAATTTCCAAATTGACTTGCAATTTGGAAATTCGGAAATCCAGACTGAAACCAAAGCGCGATTGAACTTACCGGCTTAAATGTCTACCCTTTATTGATACCGGGAAAAATGGGCCAAAATCGATTTTCTGTGCCCCCTTTAATTATAATATTGCAAATACATGTTAGAAAATAACCTAACGAATACTCTGCGTACGAGTCTCTATGTAGATACTAAGTCTACAGACAGCTTATAAGATCTTTAGCTTATCATAATGCTATTACTCTACGTATTATGAACTGAAGACCTTAGGAAGCCGAATAAGTGACAAACTTACAAGTTACATACTTATTTAGTTACATTTGTAAATAAAACACATTTAACTGTTTAAAACGCGTTATATATTGGTTAAACTTATTTGGAAATTATTTTAACTACGGCCCGACGTTTCGGATGCTTTGTCGCAATCGTGGTCATGGGCGAACTAAAGATGGAGGGTGTCTCGAATGTCAAAGTAAAATATGCTAGCGCCATCTGCTCTGTCGTAGTCGGTATTTGGCAAAAGTCGCATCTAATATATATCTAGTTTCAAACCGTTAAAGTGTTTTATTACAATTTTTACTACTCGCGTTAATTCAGACAGTATTTACTAGTTACTTTTTTTAATAAAAGGTATATTATTTATAGCTTGTAGGGAAACATCGTTAATCTCACTTAAAATGTATATATTATAAGCAATTATTTATAACAATATAAGTGATAAACAATTGGCTATAAAACCTATTTGCTTCACGTTCTGATATAATGAGCCAGCTGCCTCACGCATAGATTAAGCCAAGGCCGCTTTGCGATGTCAATATTTTGCACAAAATTTTGGCCTTTCGCCACATTTCAGCCATTATAGATGTTATTTATATAGGAAATATCTACTGCTGTATGATAATTGTTGGCTAGATTTCCGCAGTTTTCTGTAACATTACAAAGTTCAATTCTTATCTGTGGTCAGACCCTACAGATAAGTTGCTGTTATTCATTATTGTAATTACTGAAATATTGCAACAGTCATATGCTCTTAAATATATAGACCGTCTTCTTTAATTAAAACTCTTTTAACGGTTTAAAACGCGAATTATATGAGTTAACATTAACTACGACTTGATGTTTTGGATTCTTGGCCTCAGCCGTGTCAAGGGGGAAAATGGAAGAATGTTTTACGACTCACTGATAAACAGGAGGATATCTTACAGTTCTGTTAGGTAGTTTGTCTATATACCAATAACTACGGTTCCTCCAAGATCAGGGTTACTATAAAAATAAATAAATAAACTAAAAAAAAATACAAATATATTCCACGTTGTAAACCGTTACATGTGTTTTATTGAAATTTGTACTACTCGCGTAAATTACTATCCATGCTGTTACCTTGATAATTCCTACACAAAACTAGTAATTGGGTAACGTCATTATTTTTATTAATTGTAGCCTAAAACAATTTTTAAGGTTCATTTAAAATAGAACGTAATTTAAATTAAGGAGAGTGTCCAGATAGGCTTCTGGTCGATTCACCAACTCAATAATGTAGTTCAAATAAACATATTTATTGTAATACAACACACTATAATGTTTATAATACATAATAAGGTAACCAAAGGGCTATTTGGTACTTCCATGATAAGCAAGTAGGTCATCACGCTTTTGTGTGCTTACAGCCTATTTGTATTTCCAGGAATTCGCATTTAGCACTTTTATAGCTTTCCCTAGCGTGAATACCAAACATCTGCAGCTATCTACGCCAGAACATTTTTATATACAACCCATACTTTTACTGACTACAATCGTGAATAATGTTATAGAAATTAGTACGTCTTTAGAAGGAACATCACGATATAAATAAATTAAACTGCCTCTTTCTGGAGGTCGCCTCTGTTGCTTAATAATTAAACGTGTTGCCTAGCATTGCGTCAAGCACAGTCCTGGGTGCGAATCCCGGAGAAACAACAGATTATTTCGGTCGGATAGGGCACAGGAGTCTGGACTGTAAAAAAAACAATGTGCGACTCATGCCTCCCAGAACACGGGGTTTCAATGTTTTTCACTTTGATCTAGTGGTTGACACTTTGCTGATAACGACGACCCAGATTCGAGCCCCAGGGGCTAGACTAGAATATTTCACCTCCCATCAAGTGAATCCCCAGTCTAGTCTGCTCGCCTTTGTTATATCTAAGATCTAATCCCAGTAGTGCGATATTAATGTCTTATAATCAAATCATCCTCGTTATAACATAGCGTAGTTTTTGCGTCATATAACGACAAAATGGATTTATATTAACGGACCAGCAATAGCATAATATTTACTTAATAAAAATCTATCTATCATGCTTATCAAATTTCGCCTAAATGATAACGACAGTACAGTATATTAATACTATGAGGAAAAACTATTCACGTGCAGCGATAAAAATTAATAAATTTCTACATTTTACAATGCCGAATTGACGGAGGTTAAATAAAATGACTCCGGTTGGTGTCTAGTCGGTCAATTATGTACTTATTAAAGACAATAATAGTCTTATTGTCTTATTCAAGACTACAGAATAAAAAGAGAGACGAGTTTCTTGCCAGTTCTGTTCATATCCTGTTTAAGTGATTTTTTTTCCATCAAAATCCATTTGAAAACGCTTAAAATATTTTTTTGTCGGTCTAAAGCAGATTTGTATTTTTGTATTCGTAAGAGTTTAATTTTATAAAAAAAGTAATGACGTAATTATAACATGACAGGTTAATGTGTAGTCGGTTTTTTTATATACTTCTAAAATACTTTCTCGAAGAAAAATCGTCTTTTCTAAGACGTCTTTCTATAATGAATGATAAATTTATGTACGAACTAATTTATTTTAATTATTGCGCAAGCGAAGCCGCAGGCATTGCTAATAATTATTATCGTTTATTTTCTTTTGTTAAAAATGTCGATGTCATCTAGCAATGAATCTTCTTGATTGATTGAGTATTAGAAGTGTCATACAGAGCCTGGTAAATGCAAAGATGATTGAACACCTAGCTGTCTACGCAATAAATCACTTATGTATAAAAACAATTATAATTCTCGAGTAGATCTCTATTAGAGAAGTAAATAAATTTAAAAATGTTTAACACAAAAGTGCTACAAAAATTAGTTTATGACAAAGGACAGTCTAGTCAAAGCCTATGGTAGATGATTAGATGGAAGTTACGCTAGACATATAACATTTCCATAAGCTGTCCTGTCGACCTATTCTGGCTTAGACAGCATGGCTTTCTTAGCACTGATTTTCAGTCTGTCTCTAATAAAAACAATAATAAATACTGAACTGAAAAAAAATGACGACACGGGTATGACTTGAACCGGCATATACAGCTTTCCGTGCTTTTGCTAACCAATTGAGCTACCGTGTCCTGCACATTATCGTCGAAATTGTTTTACACCTATTGATAGACGCGCAAAAATGTATAATTTATATTTGTTCGAAATACTGGCAAATACGTAAAACGATATCAACGATTCTTCGGATTTCAGCATATGTCTTAAAAATATAATATGTAATACGAAATCGACAATTTCCACCACATCCTATTGCTGTACCCTACCTTGTCATTGATCGATTACACACCCTAGCCTATGAGGTCACTTTAACCTTCTGAAGGTCACAGCTGGTCAATAATCGCTAAAGGGCTCAGTTCTAACACTACCGTAAAAGCCTTAGATTAGATAGCGCAATCAAGTATTATGACCTATTTACAAAATTGTATGTAGATGACTACGGCCCGACGTTTCGGAAGCTTTCACGGGGAGAAACTGTGTACTATTCGCGTAAAATATGGACAGTATTTAATATGCAGATGAATATAGAATTTCAGTTCCATCAAAATTTAACTAATGAGTGAATTTATATATGAAAGTACGTCAGATAGGGATTTGTTTATTCCAATAAAAACATCCAATGTGACCTTAGTAAAAGATTATTCAACTGTTTAGTTATAAGTGATGTAACACAACAAATAACATGTAATATTTTTCAAATTGTTTATTCCATAATCACATTATATCCCATTTAAACAAGAAAAATCCTAACAAATGAACCGAACAATGAAATTTAAAAGCGAGAATATCTACACAATAATTAAAATACTAATATTAATAGCTAGCAACGATGGAATTAATACAATGATTAAATGGGCAGACTATTTAAAATTATAAGCTACTGCAGACTATTTATTACCATTTAATTAAATATTGTGGAAAATATTGTCTTTCTCATCAGTCATAACCAGACTCAACGTTGCAAGTTTACAATTGTCAGGGAAACCACGGAAATCGAAATGAACTACAATATGCAAGATTAAATTAATACAAGTGCATTTTACTCCGTTGAAAAAAGCATAACTTTTCTATCGAGTATTTAAAATATTTTCTTTCTTAAATCCAACATTCCTATGATATTCATATTTTCAAATGTTTATTACTTTTTCTTTTTTTTTTCAATTTTTCTCCATAAAATCTTTTTATATTCATGAACACTTACAACAATTTAGAATTTACTCTTTTCATTACATCTAGCATAGACCACATATTAACTAAATATGTTATTAACAAAAGTACTGTAATCTCATGATGTAGGATGGAATGTCACAAGACCAATGTGCATGTGATAGAACAGGATGGAATGGCATTAAACAGATTATACAGATTAATTATTGTAAGGATCTCCTTTAGAAGTTTTATTATTGAGATTCTCTAAAATAAAAACACTGGTGTTAACAAAATGAGTTAGTAACATTTGAAAACTAGGTTACAATATGTGGCCATTATCTACTAACTACCACAAATTATTCTAATTAGTGTAAGGCAATTAAATTAAGTACTTTTAATTTAAATCATAGATCCAGATTAAAGTCAGTTTTAAACAAGTACTAAACTGTTAATGTCATTTCTAGTGCAAGATGGAATACTTGGGACAAATCTAATAAAATCTAACCAGTCTATAAAAAAATAAATAATCAAAACTAAATATATACTGTCAATCCACAACACACCTACACACAAGTGTATTTTTCAGTGCTCACATCAGCCTCACTGCAATTTTATAAAAAACCTAAGTAAAAACATGTTAAAAAAATGTATGTAATCTTCATTGTGGCAAATATACAGTGAAACTATTAAAATTTGTGTTTGACATTTACTTTATCTATGGTCTACTATCACATTTGGGACACGTTAGAATGCAATTGAGGATTGAGGTATTGAACATTCTCCAACTGTCACTCTATACGAAGCCAGCTCGCTGATTCCGTGGTAGTGTACGAAAGCAGCCACAATAACAAGAACATGGAAGATCTGGTGAGATTGGAACCAGATATCACATTTTCCAGGGAACCACCTTTCAGGAACACGCAAGGCATAGAACATTGCCCCCAGAATGTACAGTAATCCCATGAGCACCAACCAACCGAGGGAAGCCTTACTGACTTGGCTCAACCATCCTTCTGTGATTCCATAATGTATAGCAGGAACAACACCGGAGAGGCCAAAACCCATGAACACTCCAGCTCTTAGTGGTCTCAACCTTGGCTCGGAGAAACGATCCCATAAGGATACTACTATAGACAGTATACCCAGCACCACTACCACTGATAAATATATAATTTTTGGTCTATAATGGCAGTAGAAGCTGTAATACAGCCAAGGAACAAATGAACCCATTATGAGCAGTGCTATTCCGCAATAGTCCAGCTTGGAGAATAATTTTCCAACCATTTCCGAGTGGCAATGCAGTGTGTGATAAGCGAATGAGAATCCCAAACAAACAATTGCACCAATGAAAAATACTCCAAATATCATCTTCTCTTGCGTTTGTATTTCAATTGACGGTCGCGTCACGAAGTAAATAGCGACGCCAATAAAAGCAATACAGCCGAGTAAGTGGGTCCAGATATTGCCAGTTTCTGTGTGAATTCGGAAAATGGAAGCGAAACACGCACTGAAAGACGGAAGTGGAGGTCGATGGCCTTTGTGAAGGTAATCATTGTCTTGTAGCCAACGAGGCAGATGTCTAAAGTGGCATACGTTCCAGGACGCCTCCCATACTTTCCGGACGAACTCTTCCGCTTGTTCCGCGGCATTGTGAGCCAGTGCACCGAGGTCTATTTCATCAGATAGGACACCAGCTTTTAGAACCTCGGCCATTTCGGCGTCGAGTAAATGTTGGTCTTCGGGGGTGGATGGCAAGGGACATCCTTCTTCTTCCTCCGCGAGGACTTCATCGAGTTCATCGATATGAGAAGCCAAACTCTCGGCCTCGGGATCCCAACCTTGCCTACGCCTGATGCCATCAGACGAAGCACTTTGAGACCCCGCGTCAGAATCTACTTCCCACATTTTGCGCAGTAAAACTAGTTCACCGCAAAGAAAACACCATTCGCTTGCATATATTGATGTGGTGTAAAAACAGTTAATCACTCGCGTTTCACAAAGCACACCAAGTCAATTACGTCACGAACTGATATTATCAGTTTTAAATTTCTCGTACCAAAAGATTATATTGTTCTCATGTATTCGTAGTAAAAATACAAATTTAGTTCGCTATTGATTATCGCAATTTAAAGGTAGACGACAACTAATTTAGAACAGCTGCAAAATACTGTCTCCATTATGGTATTCAAGAACGTCGATTGTCGAACTGTACATGAGGCAGATCGCAAAGAAAGAGTCAAGACTTGAACGACAAACGAACTGTCATGTCATAGTTTCGTTCAATATTGACCAATCACAGCTCTCTGTATTAGGACGGCGCTGCTCGCTATTATACTATCTCATTTTAGCACACATCACGAATGGCTGTTTATTCTCAGACGTACTTCTTTGTGAACGAAAACGAAAGCTCAAAACGGTGTAGCTGTACTAATCACGAAATTGGGAAAACATTTTCTGCATAAGGTAAAGAAAAGTAATCCAATTATTTTTCAATCCCTGCGTGTCGAGAGACAAAAACGTATGTCAAAATATATAAATTCTTATTGGTTAGCTGCATAAACGTAGTTATGTCACGAAACGTCAACTTGTGTTTTTGTGATTAATTTCTAACCTGAAACACTCATTACTCAACGAATCATACACCCTACACACATTTACAGTAACAAAGAGAGGTACTACTTACTTTTTGAACATGATGAGTTATGGAAAACGATGTTTAAACAATAAAAATATGAACTATCTCAAGTTAAAACAAATATGCACCTTCACACAAAACGTATTTTCAATCTTGACGTTGACACTAGATCTAGGCAACAACTAAATAGAAATTACTACTTTGTTGTTTATATTCTGGCCGTAATCTGTGGACTGAAAGACTCTGTAGACTTCTATATATTTTATATTCTACAATAGAATCTGTGATACTATTAAATAAATAGATAAAAACATTATAGCCTGTTTTAGCCACAAATTACAAAAGTTCTTTGGGTTTAAGATCGCAAATTTTAATAATTCGCTGAGCAAGTAATTAACAGTGGTAACAAATACGTTGTAACTATTATTTGCCCTTATTCAAGGGAGTTCTGATACAATGTCACATTTATTAGAAATATTAGTTACCAGCGATTCGAATAACACGTTGTGGACGAGCAGTATATGGGATCCACACACCGGTACCAGTTTAATGTCATATCGTGGAGGCGGTACAGCTGAGCCTAAAACACTTTTATTTATCGGAAAGGATTATGTTGCAGCTGTAGAAAGGACTAAACCTATATTGCACGTCTGGGCCGTAAATTCGCAACAAACTGTGCAAGGCATGCGTTTTATTTTACCGGGTAAAGCGAGTGCCTTTGCAGTTTCCCCCGACGGTGCTTACTGCATTGCTGGTATTGAAGAAAAGATATATTTGTGGCAGTTATCCTCAGGGAGCCTGTTGACTATTATCACTCGCCACTATCAGAAAATCAACCACCTTAAATTTACGCCTGAGGGTCGCTTTTTTGTATCATCAGCTGAGGATGGAATGGTTATGATTTGGTCTCTAGCAATGGTTGCAGCTAATCCTGAAGTTGAACTTGTAACCCAGTCAGTAGCTGGACAACACGATCCTTTGTATATCTTCTCAGACCATTCATTACCAGTGACAGACATGTGTATTAGTAAAACTGGCATTCATGGAAGACTATGTACAGTATCAAGCGATCGGACTTGTAAGATCTATGACTTGTCATGTGGGGAATTGTTGTTGAATTTGGTATTTGATGAGCCGTTAGCTTCAGTCACCTTAGATGTATTGGATTTAAATATCTTTGTCGGCACAACAGGAGGAAACATACACCAAGTTAGCCTAACAAATGTCCCCCGAAATAGAGACTGTCTAATGAATGACTTAGAAAATGTGCTTATTTTTTCATCACATACTAAAGCAGTCACATGCCTATCGGTGTCTTTGAATGGGGAAATATTAGTGTCAGGTAGTAATGATGAACAAGTAATATTGTGGCACATTAAGAGTAGACAACCTCTTAGAACAATTAGACACAAGGGACCTATTACTAATGCATTTTTTACTACCAACTTGGATGCCATTTATAAACAGGAATTTTCTCCTAATATTATTCTACACAGTCTGGAAAGAACTTTAGAAAAGGATAATGAAGAATTAAATGAAATAGAAATACTTGTTGACAAAAGAATAAACTTTTGGCCTCAAACTGACAAAGATTTCAATATAGATATTGTCACTAAAGAAATTGAGTTAGAAAATAAGAATAACACTTCAACCTTAGAAAAAGAGCTAGTTAATATGCGAACTATCAATGCTAATTTGTATAAACTATGTGTTGATAAGGCACTGAATACAATACCAGAGGTTAAAGGAAAACCAAAGAGAAAAAGTAAACATTAAATCCTTTACATAATGAGACTTTCTTTTCTTTTCTTTTACATTTTTAGTGAATTGCATAAATAAAGACATTTACTTTTTGCTAAGGACCTTAAGAATAAAAACTTCTAGGATATATTTATACTTAGTCTCATATAAGATGATAAATAAAAAATAAGGATGAGAAAACTGTGTAAATTTATTTGTGGCTACTTTAATTTACATTTATATGGCTATTCAATAGATTACATACATGAGATACCTAAGATTTGAACTAAATAAATACAGTTTCTCCTAACTTTATTTTTCATAATAAATTGCAATAATTCTATCTGAAGACTAGTTGGGTCAGTGACTTCGTCCGCGTAGTATAATTATTTTGGACGTCATATTATTTATTTTTACAAATAACAAATTATTAGCTTTATAAATTATAGCTTTTATGCACGAGGTCCGCGTCGTCTTAATTTTAAAAGATAGTGCCGTGGACATTATTTTATATCGTTTAAAGAGGAATCATGTTTTTTGGGTTTTCGCAGCGCACGCATCGGAAGTCCACAAAGTTGAATCATTTTTTCCGCATTTCGCGCGGTTTCTTCGCGATATGCAATATGTTTCATGCAATGTCTAAATTGCGCCATCTTTTGTTTGAGTTACATATAAAAATACTATTTGAAAACTAGTCTCACGCTTGACGTTTTCACTTTCCGTCAAACAACAATGACATTGATTGTCATCGCGTCACCGTATCGTTCGATTTCCGTCAAACTTCATTATTCATTTTAAACAATTTTATTTCCAGTTAAATACGAATATTATTTTAATTTGTTTTGAATTTGTGCAACATGCCATGAATTAATTATTATCGAAGCTACGACGAAAGCATGTTTTTATGACATTGTTCAGTAAGAAGGTAATTCGCACTGAGTTTAAAAATAAACGTTAGGACTGATTTGCGTCACAAACAAAACATTTTTTGTTTATTATTCTCAGTTGTAGTGAGATGTCGAAGGCTGTGCTAATCCCGGAGTGCAAAAAGGACATAGGGGGTGTTAAGGGGGAGCTGTGTATATCGCCAAATGACAAGAAAGATGGTGCGATTGGTTTGTTTAGCAGACTCCTACGTCTGGACGCATTAAGTAAGAGGAATACACCAGATAGTCCTACATCTGTTGAGCCATCAACTACTTACTATGGAGTGTACATACCATGCGAAATTAAGAAAGGCCCCGATGAAGGTAAGGTTACTGTTCATTTGTTGAGATATGCTGAAAGTGGGTCACTGCGAACATAAGATATCTTATCTGTAAATAGAAAATATTCAGGAAGTGTTAATCTGCTGAATAAATTCAGGGTCAAATGTATGCATATATTGTAGATAGTTTTCAATACTTTATCATGTTCTTAGTAATTTAAAAACTATTGGTGATTTAAATTTTTTTTTAGCCTAGACATTTTTACATATACATATTTAAAAAAAAAATTAGATTTCAAATGTCTTGCTGGTTCAGTGCTTAGTACACTATACTACAAATCATAAAATTTGAGATCCAAGATTTGAAACCAATTTTCATTACTAATCCGAAGTTTTAGAAGTTGAGAGTGCCTCAGAGGGTATGCTGAGTTATTCGTACTAGCTCTGAGCATTGAATTAAGTAACAGTAATTTTTAAATAAAACACTTTAACAGTTTAAAACGCGATATATTAGTTAAACTTATTAGAAACTAGCCGTGGTCACGGCTGCTAAAGCTCCGAAATGTTGGGCCGAAGTTAAAAATCAGTTTCTAATAAGTTAAACTAATATATCGCGTTTTAAACCGTTAAAGTGTTTTATTTAAATGTGTACTACTCGCGTAAACTATAGACAATATTTAACAGTTATTTTAAAAAGCCTTCACTGACATGTATGATGTGCACTAACATTGTTTATGTAACTGTGTTTCTCCTCTGCCTATCTACTAGACTTTTATAGATGCAAATAATGTTATTCTTTTTATTACAGAAGCTTTACATGTGTACAAAACAAAGTCAGAAGCATTAGAACTAGTGCGAAGGTACAAATCTGCAAGATTCAAAGTTTTTAAGAATCACCAAGATGCTGTTTCTTTTGCATTACGAGGAGCAGAATCTAATGATGTACCAGATGGAAATGGAAGTAGTAAGTACAAAAAATATTAATGATAGTGACTCTAGTGGACATGAAAAATAGACTACTTCAATGCAAAACCTTAAGGCAAGTTTATTTATCACCCCACGTTGGTTTTTGTCATGACTTAATTGCTTATAAAGGATTAGTTCCTTATATTGATTATAACGCTTGTTTGACAAGACAATATTACAAAACATACAATAATTATTAATAGTAGTAAATTTTTCGGGGTCCTCAGTTTGAATCCCAGTGAAACAAGACGTTGTTTTGGTCAGGCAAGGCACAAAAGTCTGATCTAACTAGTTAGTTAACAAGTAGTTACTTGCCCATGCTAAAACAGATCAGGCAAAAGGACACAGATATTTGTAAATTCCATGCCCTACAGTGGGAAACAGGATTTTCATTATATGACACCTAAACATGATGCACTGTCATCTCATTTTTCCTTTCGAAATCATTTAATATTTTTAAAAACTTGTTGTATATACAAATACTAGCTGTGCCAGCATCCGCGAGAATCGTTATTTTAGGCATCCAAATTAGGTTTTGCAAACCCCGTCATCTTTATAAACCTAAGCTGTTAGCCACGAGGTCAATCGCGATTCTTCCCGTCGTTCTTGCAAACTAATTTTAAAAGATAGACATATAGCGTCCCGGACTTTGTTTAGATCCTTTAAAGAGGAATAATTCTTTTATATACATTTTTTAGTTATCTTGAACCGTTTTCGCAGCGTACGCAACTGCAACCCACAGAGATGAAAAATTTCCCCCGTTTTGTTCACTTTTCACGCTGTATCTTCGTTTCTATTAGTAACAGCGCGATGTTTATAGCCTTCGATAAATGTTATAACTAACACAAAAATATTTTTTCAATTCGAACCGTAGTCCTTGTGATAAGCGCGTTTAAACAAACTAACAAACTCTTCAGCTTTATATATTAGTATAAATATATTTGGGATATAAATATATCCTATCCTTAATGTATTTTATTCATTAATGTTTTATCATATTTGCCAACATGCTTACTGTGGCCATTGCTCTTTCTTATCAATTTGGGTAATTGGTTACAAGACGCTATCATACTTTCACCTAACATTGATATATATTGTTTTTATTTATTACCTTAGAAATGTATATTATTGCTCACTAGTACCTTTTTTATACAACTTTATTAATGTTTAGATTTCTTAACATGCTATTATTATTAAATATATCGCCTCCATAGTTCCCTCATTGCGTGAATCCCTGGGAATTAACTATTTTTGTCCCGAAGGGAAAAAATGTGATATTGTGCCACACAAGGTGAAAAAAATGTTTACTTTTTTTCTAAAACATCTCTTCGTCCTAGTCAGGGGTTCGGATGAAATGTTCTACGTAGTGTGTAGACTGATCACTTAGCCTTCAACAGATGTCTTTGAAAGAAAATTACTATCTGGGTTTAGTTAACCTGGAGAATTAACTGAACAATATACATTTATTACATATTGATTGTTGTCATTCAATATACGAATTATAAATATTTCTATGTGAGTATATTTATTATTTTCCATCGGGGGCACCTGTAAAAGGCCGGGCAGCTCCTCCTTGCAGAGGTTTTAGGTTATGCAACTCCCCGTGTCGAAATGGGTGAAATGGTCAGCAGATGACGTGGACTGATCACCTAGCCTTCTATGGGTGCCCCGATAGAAAATAATAAATAACTCTCCCCATGTCCCCTTCAAACCTTCCAGTTTGCTTGTAGAATCTTACTATTTGTTTCATCTCTAATTCTTTGATGTCATCTTCTGTAAATTCGTCCTAACCCATATGCATTAGTCTAAGTCTCAAGTACGCAGAGCATTCAGTGAGTAGATGGATGCTTCTTTCCTCACTTTCTGTGCACTCCGGACATAGGGGGTCGCTACCATTCTATTATCGTAAGATGTTTATTTAGATGGCAATGTCCTATTATGTTTCTCTATGATCATATATCTCTCGTTAATCTCATCAGGTTTTTATGTGAGTTTAATAGAGTTTTGATCGTAATCTTGTTTTCAGCTCTTAAGGGGGAAAAGCCATACCCATTTAAGGCGCCTTCACCACAAGACATGGTGGCTCTCCGAAAAGCAATTGAGGCAGGGCTAACTTGCACAGTCAGAGATCGAGTGTGGGACAATCCAAGATATCTAGTTAGCAGCGGGAATACACCAGCTATCATACAAGTATGTTTTAATTTTTTGATGTCTAGTAATGCCATATTTAAAATGTCTTCAGGTTTGAAACAGGAAAAACTGCTTCCTAAATAATAATTAGAAACTATACTTAAGAACTCCTTGCAGTTAAAAATTTATGAAGTTGTTTTGGTATTTGTAAATTAAAAATAATAAATGATTTTAAATGTAGTGCTTGGTATCTTGTGACATGAATTTTAAACAATTTTTTACTGTCCTTTGTGACGTTTAACCAACCTTGGGTTTTACCATGTTCATCGTGGATATTGATGAAGTAACAATACTGTTCACTACGCTATTATTACAATACATTTATGTACAGTACATACTATTACGTAACGGCTTTTGTTAACTTTTGACATCTTGCCGAAGCAATAATATATAATAGAACAAAAATGATTCCTCTATTATGTATTATTTTGGTCTCCGCGACTCAGTGCGACCTCTGGCACTGTACTTGGTTTCTAGCCAAGGGAATAGGGCTTAGAACTAACGAAGTTTTATATATGTCGGTTTTCTCTGTTATTCTATATATTTGTGTTTATAGACAACATTTATATTTAGATAAAAAAAATTGTAATAAAAAGATATGAGTTATTGTAGTTTAAATATATAAAAATAATTTATCAAGAAACTGAATTGTTTTACTTTGAAGGGGAGTAGGATAACCAAATGCCTTTGGTAAGGGGAGAAAGGGGAAATGGGTTTTATAGTTTGCACATAAATTGGACTGATCACCTGGCCTTCAAATCATAATGTTATTATATTTTCACAGGAAGGATCGCGCTACAATGCCCTACATGTGGCAGCTAAAGCACTTAATGCTGAGATATGCAATCTTCTCCTCACCACTGTGGGCAACCCTACCTTCGTACACACTTTATATGGTGTTGATGCTGACCCGGACGATTGTAAAGTAACTATAAGTTCGAGCACTGTCTTTGTCAGATCGTAGTTAAATTCGTTGTATACAAGTTAACTAATATATTTCACGTTAATACCGTTAAAAATTATTTATTAGAATGTGTATACTTACGTAAAGTATAGACAATAATTTATTGGAATAAAATGAAAATATGAAATATACCTCTACTTAAATTTTAATTATTTGAAAGAAGTAAAAGTAGAGTTAAGAGTAATGTTGTTACTTGAATGAGTCTAGAATTCAATTATCCTAGATTCAATTCACTTCAATTAGCCCAGAAGCTTAACTAAAGTTGAAGTGTCAGTAAGATTGTTACAGGATTTGTTGTCAGTTTAGCGTTTTAAAAAAGGTCTATGCTATTTGCTTTTCAGGAGTTTGCTGCTATTCTAGTTGACAGATATTTAAACACACCCGACAAAGCAATGAACGAGACTCCGCTACACTTTGCTGCGAAATTTGGAGCGGAACAAGTGGTCGATGTGCTGACGTCCTTTCCGCAATGCAACAGAACCGCGAAGAATAAATATGGCGAGATGGCGAAAGATGTAAGTTGTTTAAATGACGTAAGGAAGATATACATTATAATATTTCCATCATTGTGTAACCAGCGGGTCGTGAATTCGATTCCAATATGCTTCTAAAACGTGATCTGGAAAACTAGATGTAAAATGAGTGGTAGGAATCACAAAATTTCATTTGGAAAGCCATTTGGGTTTCTCTAGATTTCCGAATGTTCAAAATAAAAATTAGGTTATATAGGCCTGAGTTATTTGTTTATCAAAAGAACCCTTGTATCTGCCGTTAAAATAAACGAAATAGAAAAAAAGAATATGATTGTTTGCAGAGGATATTGGGTGAATCAACTCACACTAAGTCGCCTTTAAACCTTCCGTTTTCTTTTAGAATTAAAAAAAAACTTTTTGTTTATTATTTTTTAGATAATTTGCAACCGCGTATCAAAATCTAACCCAGAAACAATACGACGTATATCGTGCATGTTATCAGAGCGTTACTACGTGCCCGTTGTCCATGCTGAGGACGAGAGTAGCCCGCCTACTATCGGAAAACCCTTTACACCAGCTTCACCACCTGTAAGTATTGTTTTTACGTAAGTAAGCATTTCAAAGCAAATGATGTTTTATTCCACATACAATTAAACAAAAAATAAATACTATATTATATTTAAGTAGAAGAAGCACTTATCTTTAATTTTAATGGGCTCTTGGGTGTTATGGTAGGGTAGAAATTTATAGTAAATCAATGGATTGTGGGTTTGATCTCCACTACAAAAGAATGGCAAAATATGTTTCTAATAAATTTTTAACTTTTATTAAACAAGTGGGATTTTGTTGATGCAAATATTAAATAGGTAGGTATTGTGGGTCTCGAACGAACATCGACAAAAGGTGGTTTCCGTCTGTGGGTTTTAGGTTATCCAAATCAAAAATAGGTCCTGATAGTTGAGATCTTATGCATCTTAATGTACACCCTAGGTTTTTCTTTTTTAATGCTTGATGCTTTTGGTTCCGTTTATGGTAGGTGAAACACCCCCAGATATACAACATACACAAGATGCGCCATCGACCTATTTTGACTTTGGATATTCGATTTCAACTTCCATCAAATGGACCCCATGTTTATCTGCCCTATATCATAAAAAACACAAAAGTCTAATACTCCTTTTCAATAATATGTTTAGGAGCTGAATCGAGATCCGCTATCTCCAAGATTGGAGATTCGAGCTTTCGCGGGACCAATGGAAGCGGAAGATGCGGAGAGTTTTAGACGGAAGTGGAAAACGCCGCCCAGGTCTTTGAAACCGGCCAACTTTCGTCTCAAAGATATCTCCAAAGGCCTCGAATCCGTTGGCAGGTATTCATATTTTCTATACTACTTGTACTAATAATAGATGTGTGGTACATACTGTCTAAATTAATAAAATAATTATTACCAAAAAAAAGAGACTTCAAATAGTAAACTAATGTGATAAGAGAAACTTCGCAAATTTATACGTATTTCGATTCAGTTAAATAAATATTTTAGTAAATGCCAAATGCAGAATATTGTGGAACATAAAGAACGACTTGGAAATAACTATTTTCTAACAATTTTACATCAAAATCGTTTCCCAAATGACGATGTTATCCGCGACCAAGAATAAAATACAAGCTTTTCTTGTACGAATCGAATCCTTGAAGTCGCTTAAAAGTTTCTTTTACATTGAAAATACATCGATGACACGGGCGGGACTCGAATTCCGGACAACGGTTTTCGTGCTTAGTTTTAGAAACTTTATACGCTCCGATCTTTTCTGTGCTAAATCATAATACCAGATGCTGTAAGTCAATGTACTTCCAGGCATTAAACTAGACACAATAACTGCTACGATGGATACAGAACTTTATATTCCTTATAGGAACCTCGCTGAACAAATGAACGTGACGTGGAGGGAATACTGGCCGTTCCTAGACACTTTCACCGACCTCCGTTCACAAGAAGGGCTGACCTTACTCGAAAATTACCTCAAGAGAAAACACTCGTCCGATTACTCCATTGTTGACACAAATTCCCAACTAGAGTCCCCTAAATCACCAAAAAGCACCCAAGACGCTCTAAGCCCCATGTCGGAGCTATGCAACGCTCTTAAATCCTGTAGTTTAAGCGAACGACCACATTGGAAGCGAACAGACCCAGTGAGACAGAGGCTATGCAGACAGCCAAATGCCAGACCAATCAATGGTGACACTGTATCACCAATAAATCATACAGTGAGCCAACTACTGTGCATAGAACGTACCTGCCAAGTGTTCGCTAAAAGGATTGCGGACGCTCTTATATTCTCTTTGACAGCGGAAGCAGAAGTCGCCGGAGACTCTTTGAAATCCGAAGCGAAGCACCTGCAACACACAATTTATACTTACATGGATGATGAACGATTCAAGTCAATAAATTTCGCCCTCATACACTCGAGACTGGCCCAACTCGTTGTGTTCAAATTGAAACAGCAGTCGATCGATTTTGACGATATCAGTAATCTGGTTGAGTTCCTACAAAAGTTAAGGTGCCCGAATGACGAACTATTCAGCTCTGATGATGAGAAAAGGCCGTTTACACACAGGGAAAGGCTGAAACTAGGGAAGGTGGTCGAGGGTCACGTCCGTTGTGTGGCCAGCTTTATTTCTGAGGAGTTGACTGAGAATGAGGGTGCTATGGGGCCGGCTGTTTCTGAAATTGAATGCGCTGATATTTGGGACAAGGCGGCTAAGTGCAGGTAAGACTTGACGAATACTTCCTATTGTTAACGCGTTCATTTCAATAAAACTTCAACGGTTTAAATCGCGAATTGTATTAGTAAAACATTACAAATTATCTTAATTAGGGCCAGACGTTTTAGATAATTTGCCGGAGATGCGGTCACGAGGAGACTGACGATGGAGGATGTCTCTAATGTCAAAGTAAACACGAGGACACCATTAGTCAGTTCTGCTAGGACCCAACCAGTTTCGCCTAATGGAAAGTACAACGGAACAGATGGCTCTAGTGTAGCAGTTTTTACTTTGACTTTAGAGACTTCGTCCATCTTTAGTTCGCCCATAACCACGATTGCGACAAAGCATCCGAAACGTCGGGCCGTAGTTATAAAAATCGTAAATAAGCGATTTAATACAATTCGCGTTGAAAACCGTGTTTTATTTACATGCTTCCTAATAATTCCTTGTCACCTTTACTGTATCAAATTTTATTTAGAAGCAAGTAGTTGCTTATTAAATCTTATCAATCAGATTTTTTTAAGCTTCTTGTACATTAGCGGTAAAAGCTTTGTTTTACAATTGTTTATATAATAATTTCAGATGCGAATGGAAAGTCGATATGTTCGAGAGGAATAGCAAGAAAAATGCTTCGTTCAGGAAAAATAGATCCTATGGTAGTCCTAAAAGCGAAAACTTCATTCGGCGACTCACGTTTGATCAATATATAGGTTAGTATATACCTGAGGCCGCAAAACATTCTTTGCAAAATTTCTAGACTTGAAAACACTATTAACTGTTTCAAACGTGGAATATATCCAGTTCACTTATTTTTAACTTGGCGTTTTGCATGCTCTGCAAATCCCGCTTGGACATGCCTTTAAAAAGTTAATATATTTCGCGTTTTGAACAGTTATAATTATGTGTATTACGCTTAAACAACGGTCTCTAGAAACCTTTCATTTTGTATTTATAGGCGATGGCAAACTCAATACAGAAAGTGAAAAACCACTGAATATGAACTCGCCGGGCGGGGACAATGTCCAAACTCTCTACACTGTGGACGTCGCTAAATGTCATGTCGTTAACGCTGAGGTTCGTTTGTTAAAAAACCAATAATATTTTTCATATTTTGCACATAATGGCACTATATAAATAAAAGTCGATTTTAAATTGAAATAGACAGCTTCCCGTGCTGTTGCTCTAAACAATCGAGCTAACCGTCCTACACGTCACCATCCAGTTTTTTCAATCTATTACAATATATAATACATTTACAATAACAATATATAATATTCACTATTTCTTTTGGGTCATGCTAGGCTATTTACCTTTTACTGTGTCAAAACTTTCGCTCTCATTCATTATTTCATGTTTTAAATACAATTTTTAGATCTCACGAATCAGTTTCTGTTATAATATTATTTGCCATGCGTTAAGTGCATAGAGTTACAATAATAATATTTTAATGGTTTTCATAGATATCAGACGACGATTCTGACGCGCCTGAGTCGGATTCGGAAAACTACTTCACTGCGCAAGAGTCGGCCGAAAGCTCTGATGACGAAATGTTTGACGCTAGCGACAGAGCGCTGGTCGAGTGTTTTATATATGGGTACGTATGTTGATATTATACTTACTACTATGGTACTACCATGTACAGATGAAATACTTTTAATAAATGTGGAAATTTTGAAGTCATTTCCATTCCATTCTTAATTATGTTTAGGTCTTTTGAACCGTTTGTCAGCCCACGCAATAGAATTTCCCGTTTTTTTTTAAATTTCTTACCGTTTTCTTTGATCTCATTGGTGCACAGCCTGATGTTTTATACTTTAAAGCCATCCTCGAAAAGTAGTGTATCCAATAAATTACATTACATTATGAGACATTTAAATTCTAACTAGTTGTTCCTGAGATTGCCGTATTCAAACAAACTCTTTCGTTTTATAAATTTACTTATATTTTCTTAAACCATGTAACCTATTGTTTTCAGAGAAGAGCCATCTAAGATGGATAGATTAGTGTTCGATGCGATTGCGCAGTGCCCGATATCGGCGGAAGAGTTTCCCAACGTGTCCCGGTGGAGGAACGGTGTGGCGTGGTATTCTGAGCAGGAAAGAGAGAGGTAAGCATTACGGAAAAGGTATAATTTTTGGAATTTGTTGCCCATCTTATTTGTTTGCAAAAGCTATGCTAAGGTAGCGCTGCGCCCCCAAAAACGCCTCTTTTTCTTTTTATATAGGAATTGCAGAAAATTGATTGCATATAATTATTGTTGTTTTTAGTTCAGACTATAAATCTGTGTTGTTCTTATCTTTTAACACGAACGGTACACATTACACACTTTTAACGGTTTGAAACGCATAATATTCGTACAGTTTGATAATTGCTAATAAGATTAATATTGTCCTCAGTCTAGAAAGGGTTTATTTGACAAATATATTTCGAATTTTAAAAAGTGTAACTTTTTGTTTTTCTAGTTGGCAAGCAACATCAAACTTCGACGGTAGCATAGTGTCTACAATATCGTGGAGCATTTGCACTTCGCCACGTACCCCGCGCTCGGGTCAAGTGACGCCCGTGTGCAGTACGCCAAACCGGGAGACCACGCCCAACACCACGCCTACCCAAGATGAAAGATCGGTATCCTTGCAGGTTAGTTATATCTTAAAAATCTGTTTTGTTTTGGTCGAAAGCTATTAGACGTAATTATATTTGAAAATAATAATGTTGGAAGGTTTGTTTAATTTATCAACTTATCTAAGTATACTTGGTTAAGTAAAGTAAATGGTATGATGGTTGAATTTTTAGAAATTAATTTTTATTGTTTATAACATGTTAAATATTTATTTAATCATTAAAATTACAATGTCATGACAGGTGGGAGCCCAATTCAAAACTGAACTTATAACTAACATAGAAATATACAATGCAATTAAACTATGACTTATTATCAGCTTAATATATATTTTACCACGATTTTTGATCACTTTTATTGACAGGCCAGTTGTTGATTTGAATACTGTGCCCTTTCTGACCCCACTTACCACTTACACCCCGGGAACCTAGGACTTACTATACTATAGAGGCATCGAGGTGAAGGCAACGTTATTCTGGAATAATGTATTATATTTTGATCACAGGTATCGAACTGGTTACGAGTGACAGGACCAAATTCGCCCCGTTCCGCGCTCAGTAGCAAGCACGTCAGTCACAACGTGAGCTTCGGTTTCTGAGCAACCTACAGACAAACTAACACTACTGCCTTACAATTAACGAATGCACGGAGGGACAATGTAGTTGGACATATTTTTTGACATTTACTTTTGATTGTAGAGAAAATATTAACATAGTATATTCAGACAATATTATTAGTTAGATAATATAGACAAAATTGCTTTTTGAAGGCATTTGGCACGCTAAGTTCTTCAGATTCTCACTTGACTTTGTCCATTTATTCCCTGACGTATCTGATAAAAGTTTGTTTAAACAAATTTAAATGATCTTAATAAATCGCGTCCATTGATTGAGTTCTTTGTTTAAATTTGATTAGATAAAGACGTTATTGATTTTTTGTTTAGACATTTCGCTAGAATTCTAATAATTAGTATTGACTTGAGCTGCATTATTCGTATAATTGAAAATAATATTTGTAGATATGTATGACAGACACGTTGAACGTGATGATAATTCGAAATATTACGAATGTAAATTGGCAACACCGAAACAGATTATGTTGCCAATAAAAAAAACATTCTTAAATATGTATTGTGATTCTAAAAATAAGTTACATTATTGTATTTTGATATAGTTATCATTAAAAATGCTGGCCAGTTATAATTTTAGCACGCGCAATTAAAGGTATTATTGATTAACAAAATTGCCTCGTTTAGCTTAGTTTTACACAACCAATTATTCCGTATGTCCTTAATTCATGTACCATAAACAAGTTAAGCTCTTCACGTTCATATTGTATTTCACCCACGATAACATCTTAATTTTGATAAAAACCTTTTTGTATACTAAATAACCCTTAGATGTATACATTTTATAATATCAATTCTGTTTTCGTATTGTGTTAGCTCTGGCATATGCTATCGGCAAAAATTACATTAAAACTTACTATAGTTTGATGTGAATCATATCTTTTAGTTTATGCCAATATTTAGTTTTTATCAGTAGTTATTTTGGTTTGGCCACTTATTAAATACAAATATGAGATAACATTTGGTCAATTTTAAGTTCTGATTCTCGTTATTTCATTTAATCATGGTTTGATGTAACCAAAAAATGGATAATTATGGGAATCTGCAATAGACTAAATAAAACGAATAAATTGCCAAAATATCTCGCCTATTAATTTGGTCTCCATAGTCAATCAATATTACATTTATAATTGTATGTGTTTCTCAAATTCCCTTATAGTTTCACAGTTATGACAATAATTGTTCGCATTCAGTAGCATTTATTATACATTTTTTTTTGGTAACCTACATACGGATTGTTGCACTACGAGTTGTGACCTCAACGGATGTTTGTACTTTTATAAATAAACGAATATGTATATAAAACGTACTTTTATATTAGAATTAAATTATAATTGGTTTATTTTGTTTTATTCATCACTGAATTGTATACATAGAAACGGAAATTATGCCTGACACTTCCAGATACCTTTCTTAAGATGCTTATAATATAAAGTTTAGTACTGGCACCAATGAAAGAGCCATCTTCTATAAAATAAATATTTATTTGTCGATAACAATAATACAATATTGTTTAAAGTAACATATCACAATAATTTAGGAATCCCAAAAGTTATGTTCTGAATCCTTGGCTAAAGATATTGGTGAATGCTCCTCATCCGATCGGCTGTTGTAGTTATCGACGTCAGCTGAAAAGTCGTCAGGATATTCGTTGTCTCCATCTTTATCAAGAGAAGATATTTTCGATAGTTCCAATTGCATATCGATACTTGAGACATCCTTGTTTCCTTTAGAATGAAATATGGCGTCCAGTAAGTCATTTTCCGTTAATTTTTCGCAACGAGGTGATTTCATTACGGATTTAATTTCAGATGTATCTTTCGGGCTGACTAGTATTGTCATTTGGGTAGATATTTTAGTTTTCTCTTCAACGTCGCTGTCTGAAATATCTTGGGTATTTAGCGAACTCTCTACAACTACTAAGACATCATTTTCAGAATTCACTTTAATACTATTAGTCTCACAAGTGTTTTCAAGATCGACCCTTAAGAGATTATCTGGTGTTACATTTTTAACTATGTTTTCCGATATATTTTCTAAAATACTATTTTCTTTAGCTGATTCATCTGATCGAGGCGTTATCACCGATGAAGTCATATTTGGAGTCAAATTGTATATTTTGTTAATATTGTCCTTTAATATCTTTAGTTCATTTTCTTTATTACTTTCTACTGTTCCATCGTCAAGTTCTTGTTTATCAGTAGAATTATACTCTTCAACTATATTCATTGTATATTTTGGTTTCTTTTTTTCACCAGCCTTCCGAGTGTGGTAAAGTTTCCTAAACTCTGTCATAGGAGTTTCTAGATAGTTAACATGGCGAACATTATCTTCTACTTCAGAATATGCGACTGGAATCGGTTTGATGATTTCAGAAATAGCGTTTTTGTTTTTGTATGGTGGAATGTGAAAATTTGTTTGATACTCTTTTAAATATTTGTCGAAATCTTGCTGAACAGAATTCTGGTTATGTCGAATGTTTAATTTTTCGTCAATCTTATATGAATTATCTATCTTCTCTAGTGATTTTCTTCTATTAATATCTGCACATTTAAAGGTATATAGAACTTATAATATTTTATCCTTAAGTAATTTACAAAATACTACTGGAAAAAAATCAATAATAATCTAGAAAGATAAACATAATTACATTTTTTTATTTTATTTTGACATTGCGTTTTTGACCGCGTCATACGGGTTTATTGTATTGAATATTTCTTACCTAATTTCTTCGCCGCATCATCGGTACTATCTATAAGTTCGTTAAGTTTCTCCTCACGCTGTCTCCTTCTAAAGTCCTGATAGGAGCGTTCTACCGCCTCTGCTTCAATTTCTAGTTTTCTTAACCGAAGCTTGGCCTCTCTAAGAGTAGTGTTGGGACTCTTCTCTCGTGATATCGGTGGAAGTTCTTTAGTAATGTGGTTACTGTGAAAATGATTGCGTCATAAAACTCAAGGTCACATATTAAGAAACAATTCTGGTCCATAGTAAGTATAATACCAAATAGTAAAAACTTTTCCAATGATAGACTTGTCCTATGACCTTAATAATAACAAACTTGCTGGTCAATGAATTATTCTATATTTTCAAGTTGGTATTGAGTTAAAATTTCCGATTAAAATAATGAAACTCACTTTCTTAATTTCTCTTTTGCCTCTCGGAGAACAGACTTAGGACTTTTCTCTCTCTTTTTATTGACATCTTTGTTGTGCGCTAACTTTGGTTCGCTACGAACATTAAAGCACGATATGTGGTTATTCTAGTTACGATAATTTAAATTGCCTAGACTTTGTCGTCTAGCTTTTTTTTGTTAAGATTTTAAATTTTATTGAGTTATTTGAGATCCTAGGCGGGCTCAAATCATGAAGAAGTTATATATTTTAATCATAGAAGAGAATGTAAAATTAACTTACCAGGAACAAGTAGGTACTTTATCCTGTATTTTATTATCTTGTTCAAAACTAAATGGGCGGTTGTTGTTTTGCGTCACTTCTGAAAATAAATAAAACATCTTTAATAGAAACAAAAAAAAACATTACTTAAACTTGAGTTTAAAAAATATAAATGGCAGTATTACAAAAATAATATATACCATCGTTTCTGGGTGACTTGTCTTTGTATATCAGTCTAGAACTAGTCGCAACCTGCGGGGCTACTCGCCGACGCAGCGAGCGCCATTGGTTGATAAGTTGCCTGCAAAAGATATAATTACTTGTGAGATCAAATATCAAAATGTTAATGTTTTGCACATGTTTATCTTGGACCTGATAGCAATATATAAATTAAAAATCGATTTTATATTTAGGACATTTTGTTCTGCCCGTGTGGAATTCTTTTTCAATCTAAAGTCGATCTTTAATTGAGATCAATATTTCTTGGCCCCCCCTTCCTATATAATATTAGCAATAAAAATATTATTTGCTACGCCTTGACAAGTTTTCAAGTAATTTTTCACTTGACACCAAAAACTATTGAATAAAGTATACACACAGGCACAGAAATTAAAGTAATAAAATATATGTTTTTTTGTCTTTTGGTGTTTATATATTTCTTAGTTTATTCCTTATTATTACTATTTCTACGCGTATTTCTATAAGAATAACAAATAATATTTTAATGTTGAAGGGTTAAAGGGAAATTACCTTCGGTTGTCAGAGTGTCTGTCTCTTAGTACCCCAATGAAAGGCAACGCATCTGTAGGGATGAGAACCCTCGGTCTAGCTTCCGGAAACGTGTTTAGTTGCTCACCACCTCCGACACTGCTCACAAACGCGTTGTTTGCGCCTTGATTCGACCTGGTAGGGTGTGCTTCATAAATGTGAAGGCTATATATATATACTTATAGCCATATATTGTTATGTACTATTTTATTTTAGACCGCCTCTGTAATCGCTGAAATCCTGGATTTGAGTACCACAAACGAATTTTCTTTAATGTATTGCCTGTTATGTGGCTGCATGGGGCAAATATTGCCTTGTGCTTGTCCGAACCGAAACAATTTGAATTCCTAGATTCAAATCCTTATATGATTCACTATGTGGGTACGGAGCGTATTTTTTTTCTATTAGATAGAAAGAGTAGCGGCACGGGCGGGACTTGAACGGGCACCCACACCGTCTCATGCTGCTGCTCTAACCAATTGAGCTACTATGTCAATAATCAATCTATTTATTTTTTTACCTAGAAAGCTGTTGTAACAAAGACGGCGCAGTTTGCGGTCTCGCGAACGTAAACTCTGAATGTAAATGAGTTCGTTCGTTTGCTAGTGTCGCGATATGATCACTTTGCTGAAATAAGGAAATTAAAATTAAGTATTCTGTTGGGATTAAATAACCTTCAATAAACATTTCGAGCGGCATTGGTGGAGATCGATTTATTATTCGATGGCTCTAGCCTGCAGACAATGGTTCATCACAGGGACGGAATTTCGATATTCCTAACACCCATATAATATTTAGACAAAGTCCAACATATTCCAAAAAATATATAAATTAATTAGAAAAAACGCGTTTGCATTCGGCCGTAGATAAAATATATTGTAATGAGATTATCCTAACATTTCGCGTTTCAAACCGTTAAAAGTATTATAGCTTTCTTGAATAATATGTTTATACAAACTTCAATAAAATGAGTTGTCGGCTAATTTTATTATTATTTAACGAGCTGTGTGCTCATTACCTGACGAGCTAAGACGTTTAGCCGATGGTTTTCAGCCCGCAGACGCTGCATTTCAAATTGACTAGAATTGCAATTGTGATCACAACATTCACGGTCATCACTGGATTGTGATGATGGACTTGGGCGTTGGTAATCACGGCAGATTTCATCGTTAGACTGCAACAACAATATATTATTGTATGCCTTTAAAAAATTTGTTACTAGTTTTGTCTACAAAATTAATATAAAAATCAAATAATACTTTAAAAACTAAGTTTTACTAGCTTGTAACATTGCCATTATTATAACATGACATTACTCCAGGTTATTGCACATTCAGTTTAACTAATATTATAAAGCTAAAGAGTTTGTTTGTTTGAACTCGCTAATCTCAGGAACTACTGGTTCGAATTGATAGATTCTGTTCGTGTTGGTTGAAGCATTTATTGAGGAAAGCTATGGGCTAAAATACATGAAGAGAAGAAACAGAGCGAAGTCTGGAAAGACGGGGAAAATTATTCATTTTTTCAGGGCTTCAGTTGCGTGTTGTGAAAACGGTTTAAGACACCAAAAATTATGTATGAAAAAATGATTTCTTTTTTGAATAATTAAAAAAAACGAAGAACAGTATGTCTCTATCTTTTAAGTTGAACTCCTAAGAACGACGGGACTCGGACGAGTAACCTACACCTAACCTATGATTTATAAAGCTGAAGAGGTTGTTTACTATAACAAATAATACGATGCCCAACATTTCCAAGCTTATTAATTATGTTTGCTCAATAATTCTGTTTATTAAACTTACCAAACTAAAATTGACATTCTTCTGCTTCAGATCATTGTTAACTTTATTCATTCTGGTGGGGAATATATTTTCATTGTTCAATAAATTATTCGCAAAACTCTCAGTTATCGTCTCTTTGTCAGCCAAACATTTGGTACTCATATTGGTCGATTCCACAAACTGTTTTAAAACTTGCAGCTCGTTTTTCAACAAATCATATTCACGTTTGACATTGTCAGTATCAAATTCGCTTTTGCTACTATTTTCTTTTAGCTTCCCCAGCTGTTCCTTTTCAATGTTGATGCTGTCTCTCTCTTTCTTCATGGTGTAGAGATGTTGCTCTAATATTCGCAGTTCATCCGATATCTGTTTACGCATATCTTCACCACGCTTTTTTAAAAGATTTTCCGCTTCTTGTATTTGCGTTTTCAAATTAATTTCCTGTAAAGGGTATGCAACTAGTAAGAACACCAGGACTTACGAATATTTAATTTTTTTGGTCGAGCTATTAAAATATTTTCACGCACATTATGATATTAGGGGAGAAAATTAATTATTACATAAAACATATATCTATAATTTCTTAACAATTCCGGTTCTAAACAAGGTTCTCTTACTTTACTGAGTCTACTGAGCCAGGTGCTTAAACGAAAAATTAATAAGCAGTGCATCCCCCTAGGGTCCACTTTTTTTTAGCAATTTAATTTTTTTCCAAAACATGTTGGACTTCGTTTGGATATCTGGACATTAAAAAAGTGGTAGGAATAGTGAAATTCCGTCCGAGTCCGCGAACCATCATTCATAGATGAAAACCATAATATGGCGACATTTTATGTATTTGTATATTTTACTAAGATATTATCTGGCTTCACCTAGCATTAAGGGAACCCCACACTTGTCTATCCTGCTCTATCCAGATTTAATTCCAAATTCTCAAACTACCCTCACCTTGGCACTCAGTCGCTCGGTCTCGCTCTTCACATCATCCATAGCTTTAGTCATGTGGTCATGCTGCTGCCGTAGAGATTTTGCTAAATTCCAGAGAAACTTCTTCTTTTCATCGATGTTTCTTTGCAATTCCGATTCACGGTCGCGGTATGACTCTTCTAACTGCAAAAAATATATAATAAGAGTTGTGAATGAAATTTTTTGTTTTATTAATGTCATCGATTTTATATGGTCTTTTGTATGCCTTCTGACATACAAAAGGCTTTATAATCACATTCTAAAAGTGGAATTTTTTTAAAGAGGGTTTTTCCCCGGCCCCAAATAAATCTTGGCTGCTAAAATAATAAACCTTGAATACCTCTTCACGGTGCTTCTGAAGAAGTAGGGCGTGGTTAGCAATTGACTTCTTAATCTTATTGTCTTGTTCCTCTTTTATCATCTCCAGTTCGGACTCATATACAGATTTGAGTTGCTCAAACATCTGTACGACCAAAAACATTGTATCTTTAAATGTAAATATTGAAAGCATACGTATGTATCTAATTGAGTACGTACTTTTTTCAATTAGGTTGATTAGTACAACAAACGATACAAAATTTGAGTTATCGTAGAATAATTATAATTCACTAAAAAACTCATTTTAATTCAGAATGGGGTACAGCTAAGCAATTAAACAATATTAAGATTTGTTTGTAATTTACGCTAGTAGTTCACATTGAAATAAAAAATACACCTCGAGTTTTTAACCGAAATGTAGTTGTTAAGTTAAAACGTTATTTATTTAAATGAAAGAATATGTTCAAAATAACTAGATACAGGTAAGAACAATAGAAGCCGACCTCATTTATAATGCCTTGTTCAACAACAGAAAGATTTTTCATAAATGATCCGACATCTAGTGAATTCACGCTGGGCTTTTTTGAATTCTGCAAACATTTGTCTTCAGTTATTGAATTTTAACTGACTCTAGTCTAATGGTAACAATGTATGGCTAATCATTAACGGGTCGTGGGTCTGATTTTTCTTTGTCCGTCCGTTCGGGTCACCAACCTACCGCCCACAGATAAAAAAGCCGTGGAGTTAAACACGTTTCTGTTTCAGTATTTGGATTTCCGAATATCCAAAGCCAATATAGTTCGACAGCGCATGTTGTCCCATCAGGTGCAATCCAATGCTCGACTATCCTACTCTAACATTAAAAAAAACTATATTCCTATACTGGTACTTTACTCTCTTACACCAACTTTTTGCAAACAAAATACCTGAAGAAACCGCGTCTTACGCTTCCTATTCTTCTCTTTAAGCCGAAGCATGCGATTTTGACACGTCACACACAACGCATAGTGCTTACATCTGCGTAAACGCCTTTCACTACTTCTCTTGTAATTTTCGTCTAACGTGTCTGTGCTCTTGTCACTTGTTAAATTCTCTTCTGACGTGTTATCTATAATTTTAATAATTAAATATGCATTAATATTTGATAACACAGATTCCGTCTCCGTTTTTTGATAACATAAAGGTAATCGCAAATTTGTCAGGAATATACGAGTCGAAAGCATAGCTATGACATTTCTTTATCGCTTAGGACTTACATTCTATTAAGCATTCTAAAATACGGTTCGTTGTATGCGATTCTGACAAATATGAAATAACTTTTATGAAAAATCACATAGTGTTTTGTTATGGCAGGCTGATTAGCTAGTATATAAAAACAATAGGCAATTTGGATCCAGAAATATATTTTTACATCCCCTTGTTCCATGGAAAAACACTTAGTTTTGAAAATCTTTTTGAAACAAGATAATTAAATAAATTTGTAATAAAGATAATAAAACTAATTTTTGTTTTTATTGAAAATGTTATGCCTACCTTTTTCTGCAAATATAGATTCTTTGGAATACATAGGCATGCACTTAAACAAACATAACAAAAGTGGTAATCTGTCACTTTTATACATTTCAATTATTTTGCATGCATGCTCTGAATCACATCTCAAACCTGAAACAAAACAATATTAACATAACCAAAAGAAATAATAATTAGTTAAGATTCCTAACCAATATTAAATCTTAAAATTCAAACAGACACTAAAAATGCATTGCTACATGTCAATAGTATATTAGTTATAGTAAAATTACTAGCCTTATTAGTATATATAAAAATACATCTTACCTAAACAATTAAGTACAGACCAAATATCGTTCTCTCTAAAACTCAAATCACTTGACTCAATATTTGATAAAAGAGTTTTATTAAATTCAAATATCATATTGGCAAGAGGAATTTCAGATACAAATACTGATAGAGTGTAGTTGAATTCCTGAAAAGTATATTTTTTACAGTAATTTAACATTTCTTAAAAAATAATAATAATATAAAGAACCTACTTAGTTTAAGTAATTTAAAAACATTTTACCATTTTTAATAAATATTCAGCAATTAATATGTTTATAGCTTGATATGTCAATTCCAGCCGTTGAGTAAAATGCTTTTGGCACCTTATAATACCTCCTGTAATAAATAGTAAAATATTGCTTACACTAAACATGATTATAAGAACTTAAGAATAAAAGTGTTATACTTAGATAGGAATTACGGATTAAATTGTATTTAAATATACAAATTACATAAAAAGTGATTTTATATGTTTATTTTTTAATTTAAAACTTACTTTTTATATAATTTAATAATATAATTTTGTGGAAATTACCTGAATTTGCACATTTTAAGACGTTTACAATGTGGCCTCGCAAATAAGCTCGTAAGTCGTTCAAAATACCATTTTTTTCGAACAGTTCGTAAATGAACTTCTGAAAGTTGTCGGATGACTCTGGACTCTTCGTGTCTGGATTATTTTGAAGCGGATTGCTGTGTTCTGTTTCTACATTTTCCATTTTGTAATATTTATTTATATCAATGCGATTTTTATTACATTGCTAAAGCCAATTTTGATTTAAATTCCAAACGAATCTTTTGTGTATTGACAGGACTCGTTACTTGTTGCCAAGTCGTTGCTATTGACAACGAATCAACTATGAATAGATAATTGAATAAGAGATTGAAGTACAAAAGTTCCGTAATTAGCAATATATTATATTCCTTTTAATTATTCATAATCATGGTAATCACTTTAGTAAAATGATTTATTTCATAATAAAATGTTGCTCGTTAATCATATGAAAAGTGTATGAAAACTTATGTTTGTACGTACCTACACATTAACATCAATGTTCATAAAAAATGTAGTACCCTAAACCCATCAATAATTTCAGTCATGTCTTCAATAGTCCCTGTGGCGCAGAGGATAGCGCGTTGGACTTCTAATCCAAAGGTCGTGGGTTCGATCCCCACCAGGGATGCAATATGTTTTTTATTTGTAATAGAAAGATTAATGAGCCATGGCATGATAAAAATTAGATTAGGTATATCGGTTATGTGCATATAAAAATCCTTTTTTTTTCAAACATAAGAGAAATATTTTATTAAGATATTGAGCTTTTTTATATGTTAGAATATATTTTGACCAGAAATAATTAATGTAATTGATATTATTCTTATTTAAATGGCAATTAAAGAACCATTGTGTTGCTAAAAAAGCTGTTGCAACAAAGGTTTCATAACGTTAATTTTTTTAAGTAAAACTTTATATATCATATTATACGCTCCGTGTTTGAGTATTAAATACATACTTACTACATATCCTTCGGTACTTTCATGAGTTAAATAAAAAAATAAAATTAAGACTTTTTATTACTTTTCTTCCATAACTATCGTATGGACAACCTCTACTTAATTGCCATGTATAAGTGTTTTCAATTCCAAAAGGGGTCAATTGTCAGTTTGTCGTTGCTTTGAAGTTGTGTTGATTGTATTCCAATATTTTTAAATCAATCAGTTTCGAAGTCATAATTAATTGAAATAATAAGTCTATTAAATTAATACTCTCGTTGTGACTTTTTTACTTGTCATATTAACCGACCGTTTATTTTATTAAAATGAGAAGACGTGCAGGAGTCGGTGCTATACAAAAGCAACAATTAGAACGAGAAAAGTATAGAGAAAAAGGATCGGAAATACAAGAGAATCAATTTTTGCAAATGCAAAAGCAATTAGAGGTCTTCAGAGAGAACCTTGAAGAATTCGCAACCAAGCATAAAAATGAAATAAAAAAGAACTCGGAGTTCAGAAAGCAATTTCAAGAGATGTGTGCTGCAATTGGTGTAGATCCTTTGTCGTCAGGGAAAGGGTTTTGGTCAGTGCTAGGTAAACATAAATAAAATACAAGCTTAGTGATTCTAATACTATAGTAATACTTTATAACTTATATGTATATTCTTTTCAATGTATATGCCTAATAACTTAATATATTAAATGGACAACATACACTCTACTCCTTCCATAAACTGTAGATACTAGTAGCTAGGATAGATTGTCTATTGTTTTAAAATTAAGGCTAGTTTTATATTATGAAACAACTTTAACAATAAAGTACTTCCTTATAATTTTACTCTGACATCATACACATTCTCAGTTGAAAATTTTAAATAAAACATCTCTATAATATGTAATCAGCATGTACAAGTATTAAATGTTTTAGGAATTGGTGACTTTTACTACGAACTTGGAGTGCAGATTGTCGAAGTGTGTTTAGCAACAAACTATAAAAATGGTGGTCTTATAACCTTAGAAGAGCTGAGAACAAGATTAATAGCGGCAAGGGGCAAAGCAAAGAAACACCAAGATATCACTAATGAAGACTTGTTGGCTGCTGTCAAGAAGCTGAAGATATTTGGCAATGGGTAAGGACTAATTGTATATAATTTAAAGCAGGCATTAATAAAAAAATGCCTAAAATATATTATTTCTTAACAAAGTAAATAAAATATACTAATAATACATGTTGTTTCTGTATATTTTAGATTTACGGTAATATCAATTGGAAAGGGCAAATGGCTAGTGCAATCTATACCAGGGGAGCTGAATCTAGATCAAACACTCGTCTTACAGAAAGCAAGTTCTTTGGGAACAGCTTGGATTTCTATAAGTATGCTAACAGGCGATTTGGGGTAAGATTTATTTAAGTAACAACAATGTAAGAACAAATCTACATTTTCTATACAAAACAACTAAAAATGATTACAAATATTTTATTCTAGTTATGTTATGTTACTGTTTCATTAAATTTGTTTCTTGCTAAAGTTTAATGCATCATGACTAATATAAATTGGCGGCTTATTAAATAAGTAATTGTAATGTTTCAGATGGAATGAAACAAGAGCAGAAAATGCTTTAAACCACTTAGTAAAAGAAGGTCTAGCTTGGGTCGACTCACAGGATCCAAAAGAAACTCTATACTGGTTTCCTAGTATGTTTTCGGATTGTGTTGCTGCTGCTGCCTCATGAAAAGTGTTCAGATATTGCTGATAGCTTGACAGATATCGCTAGCAATTTGTGACAGTTGCATCACAGGTGTATATTAAACTTATTTATTTTATGAAAACATTTAACAAATATACAGTAAAGTAAAACTAATATAAATTGTTAAAACAAGATTCTTTTAATTTTTAATAGATAAAGGGAAACATCACTTAGCATTAATGTTTTATAGATTGTTTTAAAATGTTGACTTTGATGTACAGTTGAACCCGCTAAATATTCTAGGTGCTTTCCTAAATCAATGCTTACCTATAGATATTTTGTAAATAATTATGTTGTTTTGTAAATAAAAGTAACTTTTAATGTCATTTATTGCACTATTATTACACATGTACTATTTACAATAACGAATATTTTATTGTTCTATTGACGACTTTATTACAGAGTTAACTTTATTTAATGAATAGTTAAGGTTATCACATTTTCTTATTGTATATGCAATTGATATTAAATATTTATTAACTAATAAGGCTATCACTTGAAGTACTCTGTGGTAAATTTAATTGTTTTCTCAAGTCCTTATTTTCCTTATAAAGAGCTTCCAGTTTATTTTTTAATTTTGCTGTCATGTCCAAATAGGATGCCTTCCACCTAAAAAAATATGGTTTTGTAATAAGATGGCTTATATTATATGGATTGTGTATTCCAAGATTAAGATGCTTCAACCTGAATAGCCTTAGATATTTGGAAATATAGTGCAAACTTACTTTTTATTAAGCTCCATTTGATTTTCCAAATGTTTATTCAATTCGATCACCTCTACTTCTTTTGTAGTCACCATTCTGGAATAAAGAATATGCTTGAATCGTCATATTTGAATTCAAACTGCCTGTATTCTTGTTTAAATAACAAACGGTTTAAAACATGCATTGATAACTTTACGTGCTGTTCTGCAAATCAATCTATCCGGTAATACCATTAATATTATTATTGTTACATTTAGCTATTTAATATTTTTTTCTCATTGTTTTTATTACCAAGTAAGTGTCATATTAATGAAAATGTCATACTTTTGATTAAGCTCTGTCTTCGACGACATCATGTTTTGCAACTTGTTTATCATTTCGTGCGTTTCACTCAAGGACTTCTGTAAATGTTCTACTTGTATCCTGAAAAGGTGGAAACGTCAAGTTACCGTAATTGAAATAACCGTGTAATGAAATGTTTTGGATAGAAAGGGAGAAAAAATCAGAAGTTGGGAGAACATAAAGCTACTTGCCATGCTAACATGCTTATTTTTATTTAGTGCTCGTGTCATTACGTCCTAAACTTTAGGTTTGTTATCAGTAACTACATCTTTAGCAACGTAGCACATGAGGCCGCTAGAGGCAGAGTAGCCTAACTGCAAATTTATCACTTGAGTTATTTATATTGTCATAGTCTAAAAATGTTAATCTACAAGAGTAGTGACCGAAAATTGTTAACTAACTTCTTACATAAATAATACAATTAGTACAAATTCGCCTAAGTTAACCGCTCATTTTTATTTTCCTCCTTATTGAAAATGTGTTGTTTTTATTATTACTCTACGTCTCATTTATTTATTTCATAATTTATGCTTTATATTGGTAGGTACACTTATATTTTAAGAGAAGCTCTCATCTTTACTTAAGTTCTTCACACTGTGTCTTCAACAGTTTCTCTTCCCAGTCTCGTCGTTTAATCTCCCTCGAATGCGAGTCTTGAACTCTCTGGATGTCCATGGCTAGAGCATGTTTTTCACAAACCAGCTGCATGTTGCGACGCTCTGACTGAACCTTTATTGGAAAAATTGTCTTAAGTTTTCCTTCCAAAGATGAAAATGATTTTATTGAAAGGATTTTTACTCAAGGTAACTTACCAACTCCTGAAATACAGTTTCAAGTTTTTCTTCAGCGAGCGTCAATTTTGGGTCGATAACTTTAGCGCTTTCACTCTGTTGCTTCAAATAACTTTCATTGGTGGTTTGTAAAATTTTGATTTCGCTGAAATATTTATAAAGATTTTTATTATATTCGTTTCAACTTAAAGTTAAAAGGTGTTTATTATGTACTACCGTAAAGCTTTATTTAATAAAAGCCCCTTTTCAACTAGCTCCGAGTCTAAATTTCTAACATGTTCCAACATATCTGTTACTTTTTCATTGTATTTTTCTTTGATTTCATCCAGTTCCGCTTTAAAAGTTGCTTCAGTGTCACGCTTAACTGTAGCAAGAGATTGTTTTAATTTTGTTACGTCCTCTGAAACAAAGATATCAGTGAAATTTGTAGACTTAATTGGATTTTGGTACTAAGTATAGTAAGTTATATAAAGATAACTTTAGCTTACGTGTTAATTCAAAAACATTTTTCATCGCTTCGTTCTTCTGCGAATTTACGACATCAAACAGTTGTAGAGCTTCTGCTACCTGTGAAATTGCCATTCAATAAAAGTACTTCAATTTTAATTTACATTTTTAGCATTAATGATGTTAAAAATGTTCTAATTTTTATTAGGTATATCTTTATTTTTCTAGGAAGTACCTTTGTTTTAGCCTCTGCTTCCTTCTTAACTCTATCGATAGCATCTTTATGGCCCGTTGCTAATTGTGACTTCAAATCTTCATTATTCTTCTGTTCTGCTATCAAATTGATTTTGCATTCTTCAAGTGTTTTACTTATTTCTTCTATTTTATTATTTAAACCTTTACAAGTCTTTCTACACGCATTAAGTTCATTTTCCTTTGTCTTTAATTCTGTTTCGAAATTGTCTCTTTCTGAATGTATTTTCTTAAAACTCGTTTCTAATTCAACATAATCACCTAACGCAGTTTCTAATTTTAACTCTAAATCGCGATTTGCATCTTTATAATTCTGAAAATTATTTAGTTCTTAGATTATAATATAAGAGTGTTTAGGGTTATTTACAGCTTTTTTATTATAATTTTATATTATTCACCTGTTTTCCGATTCTACTATCGTAGTGTTGATACGTCTTAAGTTCCGTGTCCAATGCTTCAATAGTCTTCTGTGACGTTTGCCATAAGACATGGAGGGAATCCCTTTCCTAAAAATTAATGATTTACTATGATTAAGTACCTAATATTGTAAGTACCAGATTTCGATTCTAACAGGGCCTAAGTATTTGGAGTACTAACTATATAGAACTGGCACAAAATTAACGAAGAAAGATTTTTCCTAATAAGCCTATAATGTACCTATAAATCCATTGACTAGTTTTGAATTCTAGTGTTAGACTAGAAATTTTGTGAAGAGAAAACGCGTCTTTTTGATTACAAGTTATTTTTATATGTATTTATAGAATGCATGTCGTTTTAGGTAGACAACATTTTAAGTTCATAAAACCTTCCCAAGCAAAGCCACTTGTCTCCGTAAGTCCTCCAACTCTTGACTCTGGTCATTCTCATGGCACTGCTGAGCATATTGTAACTTCTCCTTTAACAGTGCACCAACTTGTTGCGATAGTTTTTGATTGTCAGCTATTAAAGTTCTTATTTCTTGCTCTACTACGTTTTGGTTTTGCTGAAAAGTAAGAGAATTGATAATTAAGTAATTAGAATTTGAAGAGTTTGAGTGTTTCCTTGATATCTCCAAAAGTAAATACGGTTACCGAGTAACAAACGCGAAACACGACTTACCCTATAAAACTCTAGCTCCGACTGTAAAGTATCAACAGGCGTTTCGTCCATTTTAAATCTGGTATCATAATTGATTATAAAAAAATAAAACTTAAGGTAAACTTTCAGAAAACTAGTAATGTAAAATAAAAAACCAGCGTGTTTGCATTTCGCGGGCTTGTTTGTCCAATTGGTCGCCTAGTAACCACATTTACTTTAGGTGACTGTTTTGCAAATCACGTCAGTATCAAGTCAATAGAAGCTAATTCTGATTCGGAACCAAAGGCATAATAGGTTGGCATCTCTATTAGATATTATATCGCTGGGTTATTTTATCCTCTATCCTTAAAAAAGCGGAGCTTATAATAAATTATACTTCAAGTAATAAATTCCCATAAAAAAATGAAAAGCTTTGTTACGGTATGGTGCCAGGTTTAGATCTGATTAGCTTCGCAATTACCAAATAACATCCTTGATAAGATATTAAGAAAAATATATTGATTTATTTTTTATTGATTCTACTATACTTGAACTACCAAATTCAAGATGTAATTAAGTGGCAACATTTTAAATTGTCAAAGTCAGCTGTTTTTACTAAATACAATAATTTGAATTTTACCTAAGTTCGGTCTATATTATTAAGCAAATTTAAAGCCGAGTCTTATATTGTGTGTATCATTAATTTATAATCCGATTACTACGATAAGAGTTTGCTAAAATGTAGCTTTATCTATTGCGTATTTCAAACGAAAACAATTATGTCCACTTCAAAGTATGTAATTCACATTTAAAATATACAAGTTTAGTTAGTTATTATACTTGAAATGTTATGTTTCTTATTATAGATTATATTATGATATCAGAGAGGATCAGTGGCCGTTGGTTTATGATGATCGATATAACGTATCGTTTTGTGGGTTTGAAAAATTTCATGTTTTTGACGCAAAGAAATGGCGTAACATAGTGCAGGTAAAAATCTTGGTGAGTGGGTTTTATTAAGGATCCTATTAATTAATTAATTAATAATTATGTTTTAGTTTCTCAAAGAAGCGAACTTTATTACCTCTGAATGCCTTGTGAAGCCAAATGAAGCTAAGGAAAATGATTTATTGGTTGTTCACACTAAGAAGTACCTCAAATCTCTAAAGGTAAGCAAAAAATGTATGTATGAGTCTTGCATAAGTTACTAACCTTATGAATTATTTTTAAGTGGAGTGCTAAAGTTGCAATAATTGCTGAAGTGCCAATAGTCGCCTGTGTGCCAAATATTCTTGTACAACATGCATATTTGAAGCCGATGAGGTATGATTATATGTACATACCTATTTTATAGCATAAACGATTTACAATGTTAATATATCAATTGTATCCTGCAATGTGCAGTATTTAATACTAGCTAAGTCAGCGACTTTGTCTGCATAGAATAGTTATTTTGGGCATTGAGTTTGTTTTTGCAAACAACCTGTTCAACTCTATAAACTTTTACCCACGATGACGATCGCGTCCCTTTCCTTCGTTTTTGCAAAATAATCTTTAAAGATAAACATATAGCGCCGCGGGCTGTTTAGAGATCATTTAAAGAGGAATCCTTCTTTCAGACATATTTTTTTGGGTATCATGAACCGTTTTTGCAGCATACCTATAACGATAAGTCATATTCAATTTTTTTTACACATTTCTCATCACATAGATATAAGTAATCTCCATTTTTTCTTATTGTATTGCAATTTTCACATGTGAACACATACAGTAGGCCTACTTTTTAATAAAGAACTAGAACTATTTTTTTAGGATCTAACACTATGCAGAAGAAAATACATACCATTTAAATAAAACAAAAGAATTAATTTTCAAATTATTAATTTTTTTGTTTAAAAATTTTTATATAATACATAATCTACAGACAGTATTAAAAATCAACTTTGTCATAGTATAGTATTATGGAGAAAATAATTAGTATTAAACCTATAGCAAAATTGAATTTTGTCCATTGCATGAATCTTGGTAATTAAACTAACAATTGTGTTTGGATTACTAAAGCTATAAATGTAAAAAACTTACTTTTTGATGAGTTTAAGTAACTTTTTATAGATTACAAACTGGGGGCTCTGTCTTAGCCGGAAAATTGGCTCTAGAACGTGGTTGGGCTATCAACATTGGTGGAGGTTTTCATCACTGCAGTGGTGATAAAGGAGGGGGCTTTTGTCCATATGCTGATATTACTCTGCTGATAAAGTATTTAGTGATGTACAGAACTGTTCAAAACGCTATGATTGTGGATCTTGATGCCCATCAGGTAAAAATACTGAAAGGTTATTTTATTGGAAAAAGAAAATGTTTGCTCTTAGGTTTTTATCCCAAATAATCTAACAGCCTATGAAACATAAGGGTTAAATAGACAAACTGTTGGAAATTAAATCTCTCATAAAAAAAACATTGGTTGTCTAGTTCTAATAACTCCTCTTGTTTTACTAAATATATCAGCTATTATATTTCGGAGTTCAAATACACATTTAGATAGCGTTTTTAGGCTATCCAAAATTAGTTCTGAATAAATGAGAATTTGTTTTCGACGTTTTACCAACACGAATAGATTGCGACTACCGAACAACTTGAAACCCCAAGAAGCTTCGCATATTGGCTGCGAAAGCTTTTTACACTTTATGGATTATATTTTTCCAGGGTAATGGATACCAAAGGGACTTCCTAGGTGTGCCTGAAGTATACATAATGGATATGTATAATAGGCACATTTATCCCAAAGATGAGGAAGCTAAGCGCGCGATACGACGTAAAATTGAACTTGGGAACAAAGTGGAAGATCTTGAATACATGCTTAAATTAAGAAAGTAAGTATTTTAAATCTATACTATTATATAAAGCTAACGATTTTGTTTCAACGCGCTAATCTCAGGTTCTCTACTGGTTCGTATTGAAAAATTATTTTTGTGCTGGTTAGAACATTTATCGAGGAATGTTATAGGCTATAAAACATCGTGCTGTGTCCAATAGCAGCGTAGAATCAGGGGGAAATGTGGAAAAATGGGGGAAAACAATTTATCTATGTGGGTTTACGATGCTTACGCTGCGAAGCCGGTTCAATATAGCCAAGGAATGTGTACGAAATAATGCTAATGACAAGAAGTGCCTTCTTTAAAATTAACTTGCAAGAACGAAGAGGCTCTTTCGACGCCGTGGGTAATAGCTTAAATTTATAAAGATGAAAAGGGCGGTTTGCAAAAACTAATTTAGATGCCCGAAATTTCTATTTTACGCGGACGATGTCGCTGACACAGCTAGTATGCAATATTATTAATGTGTATAATTCTGACAATGGACACTGATTGATATATATTCTTAAATAATGTGAATATACTGTTATAGGAATTTAAAGGCAGCGCTCAATGAATTCAAACCCGATATCTTGGTCTACAATGCTGGTACAGATGTTTTAGACTCAGATCCACTCGGCCACATGAGAATCAGTGAAATTGTGAGTATTCATTAGATTATTGTCTCCCGGGATTCTATGTTAGTAACACGTTTCACCATTTAGCTAAAGAGGCGGTTTCATTGAATAAAGCAGCTTATATAGGAGAGACAAGGTAAGTTTGATAAATATTGTTTCTAGGTCGAATCTTTGACGCTTAACAATAATGCTAACAGTTTTTTGTATTTTTCAAATAAAAAAATTTAACTGTATAAAACGCGATAAACATTAGTTAAACTTGTTTGGAAATTAAGTGGTTTTTACTTTGACATTAGAGACATCCTCTATCTTTAGTCTCTCCGTGACCGCGGCTGCTGCAAAGCATCCGAAATGTCGTAGTTAAATTCTAACTAGTTTAAGTATATCGCGTTTTAAACCGTCAAAGTGTTTAATTCAAATGTATACTAACCGCGTACTGACAGTATTTAATTATATAATTCCAGGGTATAATAAAACGCGATGAATTCGTGTTTGAGATCTGCAAGGCTCACCACATTCCGATCGTTATGCTTACGAGTGGTGGATATTTGAGGCGAACAGCTAGAATCATAGCAGACTCCATCATGAATCTTAAAGCAAAAGGTCTTATTGGGAACGAGCCTAAAGCGAAGAAATCTTTTATATGTAATGATGGTATATAAAACGATTTCAAAATAACTTGCATTGTGCTCGTAATAGTGGTATTTATTAAATAAAACACCTTTTAACAGTTTCAAACGTGAACATATAATATATAATGTAATTTAGTAATGATTAACGTAGTAGAACTATTTGGAGTGATTAGAACTGACGTATAGACATAGCTATGTTATAGTTGAAAATAATACAGTTCGCGTTTCAATCCGTTAAAAGCGTATCACTCGCTGGTCTCTGCTGGCTCAAATATTTTCAATTACAGGAAATATATCTCTAGCGGCGTTTCGTGACTGCTGTAGACCTATACTTGCCCTAGTAATTATAATGATCTTAAAATCTATAGTTGTGATTATATACTCTAAAATTATCGGTACAAAGTATTCTGTGAGTAAAGAAGAATGGGACATAATACATATATTTAAAGTAATATAGATTTTTGCTAGGCAAAATATTTATTAAACAAGGGAAAATATTATTCCTTTAATATAGCACAAATTAACATATATTAGAATGTATTTTGTATGTTGAAAGGCCTAAATTATCTTTATAACTTACGTTTATATTTCGAGTTTGTTGTTGCAGCATTTTTAATATATCCTTTGATATGTTATAAAAAGAAGCGCGAGTCGCAAGTGCGCCCAGGGTTCCGTACGATGGACACAAGAGTCATATTTAAATTATTGTCAGTTTTAAATACATTAAGTGTTAGTTTGTGATATTTTAAGGCATTAAGTTTTTTGTGTTCTAGTCGCGTAAACTATATACATTACTAAGTTTTATATTGTAGCCTAAATTATTACAAGTGAAAACAAAATATTATTTAGGATATGAAGCAAAAAAATCGCGTTATTATATGGGAGTCCTTAAATATTTGATATATTTTGTTTTTACTACCTATTTGTCTGTTATATCAACACTAGAAATACAAAATTTGTATAAAACACTTGAAGGTTTAAAACGCCAAATATATTGGTTAACGTAATTTTAACTATGGCCCGACGATTCGGATACTAGTCACGTGGAGAATCAAGATGGAGGTTGTCCCTTATGTAAAAGTCGTAACTGCTACCCTAATACAAGCCATCTGTTTCGCCGTAGTTGGTATTAGGAGAATCAACTAGTCTTGTTTTTACGCTGTTTAAAGTGTTGAGTGTTTTATTTAATTTAATCCACGATATGTTGAAATTTCTCTATAGCTATCGCGATTTTGTGAACTTGGTGAAAGATGGACAGCGAAGTCCTATATTTGGTATTCACGGAACCCTAATCACTAGTTCTTAATTTCCTATAGATTCTTAGATACAGTGAATATTTCAGATACTAGTATTTTTATATAGAAATGTGTATGTGATATAGTTACGATCTCAACGTGTCAAAGATAAGCAAATATGATTTGCTTAGCACAGTATAGACAAACTAGTTCGATTAAAATTATTGACAGTACTTATTTACTATTAGCAATAAATATTTTTCTTCTACATACAAATTTGGCTTTTTATTTATAGAAATAGATTTACAGAGATATGGCTAATAATAATCAACAAATTTTACTGAAACATGTTGGACTTCGTCTGTAAATTTGGATATGAAATGGGTGATAGGAATATAGAAATAAGGCGAGGCGGGTAACGAACCACAAAAAAAAAACCGTGAATCTTCATCGCGTTTCAGTTTCAGATGTGGGCTTCCGAATATCCAAACCCAAAATAGGACAACAGCGCATCTTGTTTAGATGCTATAGGCTAGGGTACGCCTATCACCATCGAGTGAACCCATGATTGTCTGTCATCATTAAAAAAAATAAATAGCCAGTTAAAGAATTATGTAATTTAAACCACCATGGCATAATAAATATTGTTTAAAAAAACACTTGACAGTGTAACCCCGAAGTGATGCGCTCGAACCAGCCAAATTTAACATCTCGTCTAGAATAAAAGCAGAATGAATGAAAAATTTTGAATACCATCATTCTCTTGTCAAGAAGAAGAGTATAAACAATACAATTTATCTGGTAGTTGTGTTGAATTGAGAGTAGTATTCGTCTGTTGGAGTGTTGTTGTAGACGACTTCTTTGTAATACTTCTCTTTCTCCTTTTGTTGAAGAGCCATTAATTGATTCTCTTCCATTAGTTGACGCGCAATTTCTCTGCAAAATTAAAGAACCTCAATATATTTAACTTTTTTTTGCGGTTTTAAAGGCGAAATGTATTAGCTTATTTACAATTTATTTAAGTGCAGATGACGTTTGTTATAATACTGGAGGACAGACAAGCTGGGTTCAACTGGGTCAAGATGGAAGGTAAAGTACCCCGGTCATATATCATCAGATTTGAGAACAAAATGTGACATCGACCCTTGGATATTCGTAAAACCTGTGGTTTTGACGGCTTTTTAATATGTAAAATGACTATTATTTAAAAAAAAATCGAAAATAAATTGAAAAAACTCGGGCAGCACTTGTACCCGCATCGTCAGCGTTCCGTGCTGTTGCTCTACCAATTGAGCTACCGAATATATAGTGCCTTCATGTGCAAAATATTAAAGTTTTCAAACTATTATTTTACCTACCATCAACTGAACTGATGTTATCTAAGTTAGAAATGTAGCTACAATCTCACCTTCTCTTTCGCTGATCAGCGATGTCTTGGCGAGCCACCTCGCGTTGAATCGACTTGGCCAGCGCCTGCCACTCCGCTTCCATTTTCTCTTCTGCTTCGCGTTTTGCCTGGTGTCAAAACGTATTTATTTGTATCATTAATTTTCACTAGAGCTTATGCTTATATATTCAAAACTACACCGAAAATCATTTGGCAGCGTATAGCCACTTTTGAAAATGCTTCTGTTTCACGTCTTATATGTAGTTAAGTACCTTAGCGGCTGCCATTTGCTCCTTTTGCGCAGCGTAAAACTTCTTCAGCTCTTCTTGGTTCATGCCCTTGTACATAAAACCAATGGCTCTATAAACAAATAACTTTGTGTAAGCGATAACATATCTATATATTTTTCTATGATGCAAGAAACTTTTCAAATTATTTACCTATCTAAATTTAACAAATCGAAACGTCATCATCTGTCTAGCCGTTCTCTCTCATCTCGCATTTTATATTTGAATCTTATCTTGTTTTAGATCCGCAATATATACTTTTTTATTATTATTATATCCGTATGTAGTTATAAGAATAGTAATACCTATCCTTCCCAAGGGCACTCTTAGCGACATCAGGGTTTTCAGTGAGCATATCAGATGTTAGGTTATTGTACATCTCCGCTGTATTATCAGCTTCTTCCTGTTCCTTCATTATCTGCTCCAGCTGCTTCTTCTCAGCTGTCTGCATTCAAATCGTTCGCAATAAGCAGTATAACCATTTAAAATCGATCAAAATTTAAAACAAAAAATGACACGGACAGGGCTTGAGCCAGCATCCACAGTGTTCCGTGCTGTTGCTGTCACCAATTGAGCTACCGTGTCATTAAATGATTTAAAAAATTAAAATTGTTTTTTATATCTATCTTCTATTTATATGTCTATCTTTTAAGATGAACTTGCAAGAATGACGGGACACGGACGATGTCGTAGGTAAGAGCTTTAATTTATAAAGCTTTGGATATTGCTTGCGAAAATAAATAATTATGCACACTATAGAAAGATAAAAGAACAAAATGGACGTGTCTGACAAGTGCACCCGTAAATATTTTTTTTCTTTTGACATTTTTTTACGACTTTGGTTATCGTGCTAGATCAAAGCCAATTTTTTCATATTGAATTCGATAAACAGTGGTGTCTTACTAATAATGTCCTATGTTATCTTCTGTATACGGAACCTAAAAATACTTAATTAGAACAGGTTACCAATTGTTTAAAGTTAATAAAATCGCGATTTTTAAATTCAGTATTGGATTTTACACTTCCATTTGCTATAAGTTGTCAACGTTTAAGCCTACGGGCAGTGGTTAATTCTTTACCAGGGCTTCGTTGTAGCGCAGATTGGCTTGGCCCAGTCGGTACCGGCACTCACGTTCCATTTGGTCCAACTCACTTGCGCGTGCGTCGCGAGCCTTTATCGCCATCTGTTTAAAGTTAAAAACGCGAAATGTATTAAATAAACTGATTAATATTGTATTTTACCTACGGCTCGACGTTTCGGACGCTTTGCCCCTAATGATAACATTATGACTATAAACTTCATGAGATGACTATTACGGCAAAAACTGCCAAGCCATCTGTTTTCTCGTAGTTAATATTTGGAATGTAGTGTTTTATTATGGATGGTGTTAATTGTGTTGAGGCGGTCCTTACGTTACGCGTTTTAAACTGTTAAAAGTGTTTTATTTAAATGTGTACTACTCGCGTAAGCTACACACGGTGTATAACTATGAATATTCTAATATAATAACCATATAGGCGGCTTCAGCAGCTTTACGCTCCTCCTGAGCTGCTTTCCTCTCTTGAACTTGCTGTTCAAGCCACGCGTTCTTCTGCTCGGCCATTATTTTCTTTCTTTCTTCATACTCCAGATCTTCGCCTTCGAATCTGTTTGATAAGAAAACTATTTTGTACTGTCTGTAGTTTAAGCGAGTAGTACACATATAAAAGCAGATTTAACGGGTTTAAATGCGAAATTTATTAGTTAAATAATTATGTAAGGACCCAGCCACTTTCGCCAAATACCAACTACGACGGAAGAGATGGCGCCTCAGTAGCAGATTTTACTTTGGCATACAAGGGACACCCTTCATCTCCCCGTAACTACTGTAGGGCATCCGAAACGTGGGACTGTAGTTAATAATTTATAAATAAGTTTAACTAAAATATTTCGCGTTTTAACAGTTTCAGAAGAAATTAAATAAAACACTCTCAACAATTCTCAATCTCTATTACTTAAATAACTTAACAATGTAGACACGATTTCATTTGTACTAAAATTATAAATGCGAAAGTAACTCTGTCTGTCTGTCTGTCCAGCTTTAACTCCGAAACGACTAACCTGATTTAAATGAAATTTGGTACACAGATATTTTAGAGCCTGAGAAAGGCTCCTTTTTAGTGCCAATAAAGGGGATGAAAGTTTATATGGAAATTCTTTTTTGGCTTTTTGGAAATAGAAGTGGGAGTGGCAGTTAAAGTAGGAGTGATGTGAGGTCAGAGTGTTGCGGCAAAGTAACACTTACCCTAGATTTAATAGCCTTAAATGCGTCCTTACATAAATTAATAAACAGCTTAAATAATTAAAAATTCGATGCCAAATCTCTTTTGCACGCGGACGCAGTCGCGGGCACAGCTAGTACTTAATATAATGCATGGCACAAGAAAACCAACGTAAATTTTGTCTGATTATCCTTTGGTCAATATATATACAGCATAAGTATTATTTACTTTTGTGCGCTGGACATTCCAACAGGTTCTCCGTCAGATGCCCTAGGAGGTAGCTGCATCTTAAGCACATCCGGATTGTTGAGATCAAATTCTCTGCGATCTTCTAAACGCTGGTAATTCTTACGGTACTCGTCGATCTCTACATCGATACGACGCCTCTCCTGCATAGTAATTTAATTCATGTCCTATTAAATTTTTTTAGACTGTAAATAACTGCTACTTATTTACCAAATGTTGGGTTGGTATTTTACGTAAGACGCAGAAATCCTTCTCGAGCGTTACTTTTTTTTATAACGACGTAACTATATTTTTTCACAGTGGAAGAAGGTTTCTTACATATTACTCTTCTACTTTCGTTCTTTACACTTTACCTCTTGTTCCCGAGCTTGTAGCACAACGGCTAGGTTGCTGTCTTTTATCATCTGCTGTGCAAAAGCAAGGTTCTTCCGTTCCTGTTCGTCCCTTTCCGCACGCTTTTCTGCTACCTGCCTCTCCAAGAAGGGAAGGTCAACCTAAAATCAATATTTCAGGATCACGGAAGCGCGAAATCTTGGAGACGCTAGTCTCTTGTAGTCTTTAAGTTAGTGTACGAGTCAAAATCCTTACTGACTGAACAATTTTGCAAATTAAATTTGATTACTTACCCCAATCTTTCGATTGCGCGCATTGAAAATTCTGGATCTTCTTTCTAATTCGCATTGTCTCCTCCTTTCTCTATTTTGCGCTTCTTTTCTATCCTGTTCGTTTGCTATTTGTAGTTTCATCATTTTGAAGTCAGTAATAACCAAAAATCTGTAAATAGAAAAAATAACGATCGAACGTCTTCGAAAATGATTATACAATCTTCGTTGTCATGGTTATTCGTATAAGAAGTTAAGGTTTAATGTCGTGTAGTTATTGAGTAGGGTATTGGGATGGGAACTTATTGGATTTCAGTTAATTTCCCATGATCTTTTACATACGTAATATTTATTTATAGTTTTATTTCCATATCGCATTTAGTTCAACATTAGTAATCTTACTGTTAATAAATATGTTTTTGGATTGTGTATTGGTTTTTTATGTGTACAAAAAAAAGACAATGTTCATATTTAAAAACTTTTTTATTTTTTACATGTTATTCACATGAGGGTAATTCAACAAAAAATTCAATTAATCAATTACATTGCGCGATAGGTTTTAATTTATTTTATTTAATTAGCAAGGTACGCTAACTAATAACTTATTAATTAATAATATTAACAATCATGCTGAAATATAAAGTATGAAACATTTATATTATGTAAGAAACTACTATTTGGCAGAATTTGATGAGCTGGCAACACTGCGAGCTATGTGGCAAAGTGCGTAGTTACGGTAGCGTAGGCTAAGCTCTAGAGCGTAGTACGTATTCGGTAATACGATTTTTAGCGGCAGAAAACGCTTGACCGTTGTTAGTGTCGCGCGTGTATGCTGTTTTGTTGCCATAGATAAAACGCTTAAGTAAATATTACGAGTCGCGCGTGTTAAATAATTGTGTATTTTATTAAGAGGTGCTCTTAAGTTTCCAAAATTATTTTGTGTAATGTGACAGTTGAATATGACAAGTGTTTTAAAAAAATCTAGAGGAACAAAGGGAAAATCGGAATCAATGCAAGAAGATTTGCCGTCGAGATGGAGTGTCTCCCAGGGGCACAGAGCGGAGGATGCCGCGAAGCTGGTCAAATATATCGATGACAATGTTATTGGCAAGGGAAACTCATTTTGCGGGCCGTTTGGACGTAGAAAAGGTAATGGCGCTATTCTTGTATTTTATTTTATATTTTTTAATTTATCTATTGCAATTTTCAGTAATTTGATAAATGGAAAGCCGATCTGGTGGTAAGGTTCCTAAAAAAACATGTACTTTTGTATCATTAAACTAATTTCAGATTTTTTAATATTGATTTTAACGTCATATAAAAAATAGTTATACTATAGTGGACAGTGCAGTCGAGCTAGCTATTGTTTTAATTCATTTCCGCATAACAGCTGTTGTTTGTCTGTTAGTGATAAATATTCCGAGGCTATTATATTTAGTGATTTGTGTCACATTCAAAACAGTCATTGTTAAATGTAACACATGCGATTCGTTTCGTTAATGTAAGTAGGTTAATTTAAAAACAGTTACAAATCGAAAATTAATTATTCGACTCATAGAATTAACACAAATATCTATAATTTATACTAAAATAAATTCGTATTTTTACAATTAACATTTTATATTTAAAAGCGGGAAAACAGTGAATGTGTTGCCATTGCAAATAAATAGAACAAAATTAGGATGACGTAACGAATCATTACGGAACGTAAAGAAAGCATTTGTTTCATTATCATTACTTCAATTAAAATGTCATTAGGAAAACACCGATGCGCACACGGCGTAATTTTTAAAAATAGAATTAAATTTACATAATCATTATCACAATTCGTGTGTAAACAGGTAGGCGTGTATAAGTTAAACGTAAGCTGGATCTATATTAATCGCGCGTTGACCTTCGTTCGATTTGGCTATTATCAGATGGTGTATTAAATAAACCTTTACACCAAAATATTAACAACGTTCACCCGCCTCTAGAACCATAATAATTATCTATTATATATGGTACTTAACGATTTAAAACGCGACATACTTCAGATTACTATTTTTTGTTAATTTCGGGCAAAATGGAAAAATGGAAAAAAAAAGTTCCCTAGTTAAATATTAAGTGAATTAATATATTTAGCGTTTTAAAGTGTTTTATTTCAATCCATTATGTGAGTGAAATCCTGTTTCCCGTTGTGAGGCTAACACATTTCTGTATCCAATTCACTGATTTTATTACAGACAAGAAGATGATCAACACTATTCGATATTGGGATGCTAGATAACGCGCTAACCACTAACCAATTTGGCTATAGAAAAAAAAAAATAATAAACCACCATGACTTACGTTGTGTTTATTCTTGAAGTAACGACGGATATTATATTTGTTTAAATTTTGTCTTTTCAATAAAATAGAGGAATTTGGTTATTTTCATGTCAATGTTGAGGTAAACAGTAAACGATAAGACTCGTAGAACATGACAGAATCGATATTGAGATATTGCGCGTATTTCGTTATCAGCGCATTTTTGCAATCTTTCATTCTCAATGTCACGACCAAGTTTAGTCATACACTAACACTACACAATCGCTATAATTTCATATAATAGAAACAATATGTTTATTACTTATATCTAAAAGAACATTATCTATTAATATCTATTAAGTAGTATTAAAATGTAAGGGATACGCGTTTATCTTTTATTTAATAATGTGTAAAGTCTGATTTCGTCTTCAATGCTGAAAAATTTGTATTGAGTATGTAATTGGTAATAATATAGTATTAAATACGTATTTTAGGTGAGTCATGCGAAGGTGTAGATCCACGCTTCACAGGAAGGAAATCGACAATTTAACAAAACATAGAATTGAAAATTTGTAAGGCGCAAGCATTTTGTTTCGTCAGTAATAATTCACTTACTATATTATGTCATATACTTTAAATTCAAAATTCAACATAGGCAGTTCAAAGTCTATATTTAATTTAATAATATTATATATATATAAGTCTTTACGTTATTTGTAGTGTTTTGTGGCTGTAATAACAGTTAGTTTCATTCGTATATACCTGCTTGAATAATGTTGTACCAATACGTACTATTTTAGTACTCGTTAAAATAAAACACTTTTAATGGGTTAAAACGCAAATATATCATTCAACTTATTTACTATCTATTTTACGGCGATTCGATGCTTTGTGGCATTAATTGGTTAACTAATATATACTGTCTATAGTTTCGCGAGTAGTACACATTTAAATAAAACACTTTAACGGTTTAAAACGCGATATATTAGTTAAACTTATTTGGAAATGATTTTTAACTTCGGCCCGACGTTTCGGATGCTTTGCAGCAGCCGTGGTCACGGGGAGACACACATGCAGACGTGACGTGACTAATATATTTCGCAATTGATATCGTTAAAAGAGTTTTATTTAAATGTCTTACAATATGTCTGAAGTGTATCATAATATACATATACATACATGACTCGTGCAACAGTAACATATAGTGTTACACAGTGATGTAGACACAAAAATGCGCACAAAAAGTTGCTTCAGGTTATTGAACTGTACAGCCTTTTCCTCATAAAAAAACTTGGGAGAAAGGCACTCACCGAAAAACAGGTTCGAGCCGCGGGAAAAAAAGTCTGGACGTGACTTCATATAATTATGCCTTTCGGGGAGTTTCTCGTGAATTTGTAACTGGTATCCCCATTCCACAGGTGTGGATTATTGCTCAATTGAGATTAATTATATTTTAACAACGGTGTTGTCTAATTACTCAGTTGTTACAAAAGGGAGGTTATAAATGCACGTTTAAAGTGTATGTTTTAAATAAAATACTTTTAACGGTATTAAACAAAGTTCATAAGTTTATTTATTGTAAACGATGACCCGACGATGACAGCTGCAATTCATCTGAAATTTCGGGTCAATATTTCGCTTTTGATCTAAAGCGTTTTGCCATTATATACCTTATTTGTTTGAGCATAACAGACATGGTAAGTGAAGGCAGTGTTAACGGTAGAAGAGTGAAAAATTTGGCCTGTAACTTGTAGAGTATGTTTACTTTAGGGCATAATTAAAAATGTCAAAACATAACGCATAAATAATGAACATTTATATAAGTAAAACACATATTAAAACATACAACATTTTATCAGAATTGGTCGAGCTGTTTCGGAGTAGTAATATGACGCGAGAATTTGATAGATGTGTAGATATTTAATACAATGTAAAGCGTCTGTTATTTGTATGCAGTCATATGTAACTAGTGATAGTCGCAAACTATCAAATAACACATACCAGACATATAAATACAAATGTTCTAGTTTTGTCAGTTGTTTGACTTTCAAAGTATACCTAGTTTGGCCTTGGATATTCGAAAATTCACACTGAAACCGAATTTTCACGGCTTTTTAGGTCTGTGGGCTGTGGTTCCAGACCTGGACGAAATTTCTATCCTACCACCCATTTATAATCCAGATTTCCAGACCAAGTCCATCATGTTTCCGAAAAATCAGAAACAAGTTGGGCCTGGTGGGGATCGAACCCAAGACCCGTTGATTATTAGCTATACATTGTTACAATTCGAGTTTAATAAAAGTTTAGTTGCCAACATAAAAACTACAAATTAAGTTAACATAAATTGCACGGCGCATCGCAACCGCCATATTGAATTACTGTCAAGTGTCAACATGACACTTCAGCCGCGGCACGTGTAAAATATTCGACGCGGAATAAAACTTAATTATTATTGGAATTTTATCTTCGTTTATTAAACTATAATGATGTTTGTCATCAAGGGTATCGCCGAAAGTGCCAAGCCATATAATCAAGATCTGCTGTCGACCTATTTTAATTAATAGACTTAAATTAGCACTTATGGCTTATCTATTTGGTTCATTAACAACACAGAATCTATATACTTTCCATTTAACACCCAGATTTCCCAGACATGGTTTAACATTTGTTCATAAAATGTATATTGATTTTTTTCTATATTATTTGTGTAAGTATTTGAAAGCAACAGCTGAAAATACATAGTACAGTGTCATTTGTTAGAAAAAATGTTTAATACCGTTTCCGTTGGGTCATCGCGTGAATATATTTCTTTGTCCGTTTCACGACTAGTAAAACGAACTTGATCCAACTTTGTTGATCTGCAGGATCGAAAGAATATATTGTTTTCCTGGGATTCGAACCCAGCACCTCTAACACGTTTAACCATTGAACGATATGGTCGGATATTTAAAAAATAGTTAAACAATCAATTTCATATTTTAAATTTAGAACGAAACCATAAAAAATAGTAAAAGTACTCCGTTACCGAGCAGTCGGTAGATTTCCGCTATAAAACGAATCGTGTACACAATTTTATTAGTCAAGTAGGTCGTGTTAAACATACTTTACAATCCAGTATCACTGAATGACATTGAGGTTGTAATTTGTAATTCAAACGATAACTGCTAGCTGCGATTCGCACAACTAAGGAGATGCACTCGGCAAATATTTTATTTGTCGATGAGCTTAACAAACTCAAAACTTTAAAAATTATTTATATCATGAAAGTAAAATTTCTATGTCGTAGAAATATTTCTGTGTCACTTGGACTAAATATACTTAAGCATAGTCTGTACGCGAGTACTTCACATTTAAATAAAACACTTTAAACGGTTTTAAACTCGAAATATGTTTAAAACCGTTTAAAGTGTTTTAGCACGCAACCCGACAATTTGGGTCGTAATTAAAAAGATTAAAAACATAAGTGAATGTGTTTTATCTTAATAGATTTGTTAGTAAATTTCTTAGTTCAACACACACTCGCTAACACTTTGTCGCTCCACTCGACTGCAACTACTTTGAGTTTACCCACGATCCGAATCTTGGACTTCTTTAATTGCGATTAATACTTATTATAAACATAGAAAAAAATGAAGTATCTGCTTGTATATGTTTCAATTCCCGAGAGAGAATATTTTTTACCTGAATAAAAAAAACATTGTTTATAAGTTGTTTACATTATAACACATTAAAACTTGTTGTATTTTTGCTCTAGTATTATTATTTCTCCCTTACATAAGAAAAGGGGGCTTAAAAAGCAATTCTTAGCTGATCCATCATCGTTATTTCTTCTATGTAACAATTAAATCTATGTTACAGCC